CCTCGCCGTACTTCTGGAACAGGAGGTGCCCGCAACATCTTTGCAGAGGCTGAGCGCAACAAGGCGAAGTGGGAACCCACTCTTGCTTACTCTGACGACGAGGACGATACCCCTGATCTGCCATCGCCTACCCGGCCCAAGGTCAAGCCTGACCCATTGAAGGCGCCTCGCCGACCTCTCCTGCGCCAGCACACTGCCGCCTTTGTGCAGAAGCTCAGCACTCAACCATCCCTGTTCCCATCGAGTGGTACCCGCCTGCCTCAGTCAGCAAATGCATCTACCTCTCAGTCCGAGGAGCGCAGCGTCAGCGAAAGCAGAGCCAAGTCGCCCCACCGTCGTCTCACCAAGATTCCCTCGTCCGCCAATCTCGCTGCTGATGCATCTCCAACCCGCAAGAGTGCGCCCAAGCAGGCCCAACCCAAGGCCAACGGTGGTGGCGAGGAAATGATGAAGGCTGTCATGCAGCGCAACATGGGTGGTCGTACCCTTGTCGAGCTTGCCCAAGCCCGTGCTGGAGGTCGCCCCATGGACGAGGTCAAGCGCTGTGCTAGCGACTCTCGCTCATCCGGTCCATCGATGCTGAAGTGCTCTGAGCGGGATCCCCCTGCCATCTGGAACCCTGAACTAGACGAAATGCCTAGTCCCTTCCTCGCTCGTGGAAAGAAGGTCATCCGCAACCTGCGGTGATGGATCACCTGCTGTTTCCATTTTACATTCATATTTTCTTCCCCTTTCGGTTATGGTTTTCTGGAGTTTTGATGAAATGGAGTTTTTCCTGGTTGATTTTGATCTTGATCTGGTTCTTTGGAAAGTCGTTTGATTCCCATTGCCTGTCCACCATTTTGGTCCGATTCTCACTTCGTTTCTTGTGCATAATTTCCCCCTACGTCACGGAGTTGGCTCTAATGTTGCGTTCTGGGTGCATCCTTGCCTGCATTGCAAGTACACGGAGTTGGATACACATATGCCCCTTTACTGTGTTTCTGTTTGGCTCTTTAGCCTGCGTTGGCTACCCTGCCTCGCCCCGACTCGACTCTTTACCTTTCTTTTGTTGTTACGCCGTCATGCCCTTTCCTTCGATGAAGGAGACGATTGATTCTCTGTACATGTATTCGTTTTGCATCAGCCATGCACTGTTGATTTCTTGTGCCTTTTTCCCCCCTGGGTGTTAATTCCACTGTTCATCGTACAGTCCCTCGCAAGTATCCGGATTTTGCTTGTCATATTGGATAAATCTTTGCTGCGCCTCCCGATTTGGAGTACTTCATATATGCCTCTCGTTGGTTAATGCTTCTTCTCGACTTTGTTCTTGGACCACTTTTTGTGAGTCCATGGTTGAGGAGTTTTGGTGCTAGCATTGTCTGTTAGATGTACATATCCATGATCAGAAGGAACATTCTCACTTACTTTATTCCAACGTAAGTTTAGATTCATTTTCAATAGATCTAATGCCTGCGCAGACGTACGTCGACTACCTCGGCTAGGATAAATATTCCAAGATCATCGATCCTATACTCACTACTAACAGGTTGAGCGATACATATCTCAGCCCTCAACTTGCAACCGCATCATATCCCATAAACCAGTTCATAGAGTAGATTGAGCAAGATTAAGCCCAAGATTCCTCATCCTCAACTTCCTCCATCTGCACAGTCCTAAGTTCCCGATTAAACCGCTGCTCCTCCTCCTCCAACGAAATCTGCCCAACTTTCGCTGGAGCTTCAGGCCCAGGCCCAGCAGAAGCATTATACCCAGTCTTCTCAAGCCGATCCATCTCCTCAGGCTCCAACAATTTGCCTTGACCCTTGATAGACTGCTGCTTCATCCGAACCGCAGCCGGGATAAACTTATTCGTCGCCTCCCGCCGCAAATCACGGATCTCAGGCTTGGCCTCATACACAGTCTTGGGCGCTGCAACCGTCGTCGGCCTGGACGGTAATAGATGAGGACCACGCTGCTCACCACTCTCGCCCTGCGCGTTATCCCCACCTCGTCTCCGCTGCTGGCGCGGAATCGGCGGTGGTGTATCCCGCGGCATGGGTATCCTCCTCACATCCTCATCCGTATCACTGCTCTCATCATCGGCCGGCATGCGCGTCTCGTCAGACTCGCGTCTCCGCTTGCCTAGTACGCCCTCTCGACTCCCTCGTCCGCCGCCCTGGCCGCCGCCTCGGTTGTCATTGTTGAATCGGGGTGCTTTCTCGCCGAGGGCTTCGCGCGCTTTCAATACGCCTCGTAGATCTTTCTCTAGAGCCTCGAGAATCTCCTTGTCACGCGGTCGTAGTTTCTGGCCTGATTCTTCGGCTTCTTTGAGCTCGTTGATCTGTCGTTGGATTCGATCTGGATTGCGCCGTGCGAGCTTCTCATTTCGTCGTGCTAGTGCCTCTGCTTTGCCCTTTTTTAGGCTTTTCTGTTTGTCTTGTTTTCGTTGCGCTGCGGCTGGGTTGATCGAGCGCTCTTTGTCTCTGGCCATGTTGTCGGTTCCGGTGTTTGTATCGAATTTCTTGGTTTGATTGTATCAGCCGGTATTGCGGGAGCTTGGCCCGGTAGTGAGTGCTTCGGGGGTTTGTCGAATCGATTGCCCTGCTTGCTCGTCGGTACCGGTACAACGGTCTGGGCTCTGAGGCACGTGAAGGAATCAAAATTGGAGATGCAGGAAAGGAGGGCGCGCAATGAGAGGAGAGTGTTGCAGGCTGGGGATCAAAGCGTCTTCAATCGGGCCGTTAGTTAGATGCAGGAAGTCAGCCTCACAATTTAGGCGATGGAATTTGGCAGAAGCTAAAGCGGAGTGGAGAGCTGTTGGATCCATGGTTCACCTCACTGCAGTATATAACTATAGAGTATATAGCACTATATTGCACTATACTGGATTACACTGGACCATATTGGACTATTCATTGAGTCTGATTGGTTTCGTAGTTTGCAGATATTGCAGAGCCTCTTCCCCATCTTGGGACAGGTGCAGTAGCATTAGATCAGATGTAATGCAGTATATAGTAGAATACAATCACAAATTGCTTCTTTTGACTCCTTACAAACCCCTCTTTATGGGGGTCCGAGGTATCAGATTTCCGCCTGAGCCTGTGCTCCGACCAAGGATATAAAACACTGAAATCCCACTAGACCCTTCGGGTGTAACTGGACTCGAGCCGCGCGCTGTTCAGTTGGCGCCGATACCCCCAGTTCACATCTCCTTCCTCTCTCTTTTTTACCAAAAGCAAGCTATCTGCTTTTCTCCCCTCAACAGTCGAATAGTCGCACTCCGGTCCGGCTGCGCACAGTTCTTTGCACTCTCTCTCCGCACCTCCTTCCCCCCGCCCATCCACCATCATGACCTGTGGTCCGTTCGGTCTCACATCGAGTTTGATTGGCGCCTCGTAGACTGTCGCGGTCGGAGCATGTCTCTGCCGGGACCAAATGTCCGTCTCAGCCTCGATCCCCGACACTTCGCTTGGCCTCACCTCCTCCGAGATCCAGATCCTCCGGCAGCAGCAGCAGATTGCCCTGCAGGGCGGCCATGCCGGCAATGGGGTTGCCAGGGGCAGGGGAACAGGGAGAACCAGCAACTCCAGCTCGCGCGCTACCAGCGCCGCCAGCAGTCAGGGTCGCTTGCTGCTGGATCCGATGAGTCTCCGCGCGTTGTCGCACCAGCTCGACGGCTTGCAGGCTCAGATCCGTCATCGGATCGAATATGTATGTTTGTCTCGTTCGGCCTGGTTATGGGTGTGCTTCTAACGTGGGATGTGTGGTATAGCTAGAAGATCAGATGCAGCGCTCCATTCAAAACACCTACGACCGCGCGGGCAACGTCATTCGCAATGCCGATGCGGAGATTGCCCGCACCCGTGAGATTCTTGCTTCTATCGACGAGCTGGATAATGAGTTGGCTAAAATCGCCCATATCCGTGATATCGTCAAGGGTTTCCGTGGTCGCATCGAGAACTTGGATCACCGCATTGACCAGAGTTCCCGACGACGGCGATGAGTTTACTCTCATACTTCCTGACATACCTTCTACCAAACCTCGCATTGTACAAGGTCATAAATTCTTCACCTCTCCATACCTTTCTTCTACTCGACCGCTGGATGGTCCGACCGATACACCTATTCCTCTCCACACGATACGTGAATGAAAGCCAACAGAACAAAAAGAAACAAAAAACTATATACCGACTGTGTCCTCGCGGACAATTTCTCGAATCTTTGCTAGTCACCATATTCCACATTTCATTTTCCCGCGTTTCTGATTTATTGAACAATTGGTTAAAAGAACTGCATGCCTCACGGCACCGTCGAGTCGACTCAATGAGAACACGACCTCGATAGGATGGCAGTATACGATGGCACTGGAGTTGGATTGATGAAGGCCAGAGCACTCATCTTGCTGGAAATCCTTGAGATTTGATGACTATCATGAAGGATTTTTAATGTGTTTCCGAGTGTATAAACACGACTCTTTCTGTCCTTGGTTTGATGCTTCTGCTATTTCCTCTGTTTCGATTCCCCTCTCTGCATCTCTCGTGTACATTGCTCTGGGCTTCTTCTGCTTTGATGTTGGCCGATATGAGGATAATCATAGCTAGGCTTGCAATTTTCGCAGTATAATTCGGCAGTTTCTCAATTCCATCGTTCTTTCGGGTGGATTTCGTGTCTCGGCGCATCAGACCGCATTGATATTGAACGTAATGGGAGACGCCGCTGTCAGGTGCCATCCACGAAGCTTTGTTCGGTTTCGATTGGCTGATATTTGGTGTAGATTCCTGAGCTGACTGGCACACAACGTGGTATGCAGATGGGGTGTAGCTTGATGGCCATAAGGAGGCCTTCCAATCGACTTTTGTACCAGTTGCATGCATCGAATGCAAGACTGCTGGCCTCCATGAATTTGAATCCGAGGGGGCCCGTGGCTGTGGCCGTGGCTGTGGTTGTAATGTAAGGTGTGACACGTCCAGTAAAATGTCAAACGTCTGCAGTTGAAGATGAAGGTGTTGTCACGTCTATCACGTCGCTTCCTCGACCTCAGCATTTGCAGCGGCAACTTCATGCTGTAACGCTGATTCCTCACGACGTTGCACGAGCTTCTTTCCACGTTTTTCCGTTTGGGGGAAACGCTTCTCGGTCCCACACACGAAGCAGCGGACGACCAGTATGTCAGCCCATGGCTTTTTGCCGCCGCGACTCGCATTTTCGATTTCATGCGAGCAGTTCACTCCAGGCGCAAGGATTGTATCGCAGCGCTTGCAGACGGATCTCTTCAGCGCGATTGGCAGCCGGATTTGAGTCTTCAATGCCACGCCACGCAGGTGAGATACGCATACCCTGGAGAGGTTGTTCATGGGCTCCGTGGTCTTTTTCGCGCCAGACGTGCCCTGCGTACCCTTTTTGCCATTTGAAATGCTGTGTAGATCATTTTGGGCATAAGCTGAGTTGCCAGTCTCTTCAGAGATCACTTGGTGGGCTGTGTTCTGTTGCGCATTTTGCAGATAAACAGCTGCTTTCTGAAGGTAATCTAGGCGGGCTCGAATATGACCCTGGACGTTCTTGCCCTCTTTCTTAACCTTAGCCTTGGCCATGTTCACTTGGATGGGACCTGACTAGTTGTAGGCTGCATCTCAAAGTTGCATATGGAAGCTTATGGCGCTAAACCCAAAGCGGTGAGGCTGATCCGCACGTGACTCAGCCAACCTCTTCTCCCTCGCCTTCAACCTTCCACCTTTGTCTGTCGACCCGACCTGCCATTCAAACCACGGTCCCGTCCAATTAATCTTCTCATCTCCGTTCTCTATTTCTCTTTTTCCTTTAACCTTTCTCACTTCAACTTTCCCCAATACAAGTACTTTACACGTCGCGATGTCTCACGAGGAAGATCTCATCGATTACTCCGACGAGGAGCTGCAGACCACCACTCAGCCCACCACCACTGCTGCGCCTGCCGCCGCCAATGGTGACGATGACAAGCAGGGTGATCTGACTGTCACTGGTGGCCGCCCCGACAAGAAGGGTAGCTACGTTGGTATCCACTCGACCGGTTTCCGCGATTTCCTCCTGAAGGGCGAACTCCTTCGCGCCATCACCGACTGCGGCTTCGAACATCCATCGGAGGGTTAGTCTAACTCATTTCCCACAAGCGTTCCTCCATTCCTCCAAGCTCCAACGTCCGTCCATCCTCGCGGGAAGATTCTTCGGTCGGTATATCTGGCAATCAGCCCTGTTTCGAATCTGCAGACGACATGAGGATACGCGCTTTTGAACAAAGACAATATCTTCACTATATGTTGGTCGCAGGTCATGATACTCGCGCAGAGCTCAAGCCTCAGTCACGGACCACCACATTCTTCATGGGGATTGGCGCATTGGTGAATTATGCGTGTTGCGCTCCGTCGTTGTCACGCGTCCCTCATGTTGTCTGCAGAGCAGGTTTCCTATGGAACTTGTATATTTCACTGTGACCCTCAGTCAGAGTAGTTTGACGAGGTGGATCAAGATGACCTCTTGGCATCAATTTGCGCGATGCTACAGGATGGACGGACTTTGCGAGACGAATTGCCTTTGCTTCTCATTTCATCGAACACAATCTAACATCGGCTCCACCCCACAGTCCAGCAAGTTTGCATCCCGACTGCTATCCTGAACGTCGATGTTCTTTGCCAGGCCAAGTCCGGTCTCGGTAAGACCGCTGTCTTCGTCCTGACTACTCTTCACCAGCTGGAGCCCGTCCCTGGTGAATGCCAGATCCTAGTCATGTGCCACACCCGTGAGCTCGCCTACCAGATCAAGAACGAGTACGCCCGTTTCTCCAAGTATCTGCCCGACGTCAAGACTGCTGTCTTCTACGGTGGTACCCCGATCCAGAAGGACGTCGAGACCCTGTCCAGCAAGGAGACCTACCCCAACATCGTCGTCGCCACCCCCGGTCGTCTCAACGCACTCGTCCGTGACAAAAAGTTGTCTCTTCGCAACGTCAAGGCCTTCGTTCTCGATGAGTGTGACAAGATGCTCGATCAGATTGGTACGTTTACGAATATACAAGTCGAAAATATCATCGCTAATATTGCTCAGACATGCGCCGTGATGTCCAGGAGATCTTCCGTGCCACCCCCGCCGACAAGCAGGTTATGATGTTCAGCGCCACTCTCTCCCAGGAAATCCGTCCCATTTGCAAGAAGTTCATGCGCAACCCTCTCGAGGTTTACGTCGATGACGACACTAAGCTCACTCTTCACGGATTGCAGCAGTACTACATTAAGCTGAGCGAGCAGGAGAAGAACCGCAAGCTGAATGAGCTCCTCGACAACCTTGAGTTCAACCAGGTCATCATCTTCGTCAAGAGCACCCAGCGTGCCAACGAGCTTGACAAGCTGCTCCGCGAGTGCAACTTCCCCAGTATCGCTGTCCACTCCGGTGTCAGCCAGGAAGAGCGGTATGTTTATGCCTGTCCCGCTATCGCCGTGGCATATTGCTAATTTCCCCACAGTATCAAGCGCTACAAGGAGTTCAAGGAGTTCAACAAGCGTATCTGTGTCGCCACCGACGTCTTCGGCCGTGGTATCGATATCGAGCGTATCAACCTGGCCATCAACTACGATCTCCCCGCGGATGCCGATTCCTACCTCCACCGTGTTGGTCGTGCCGGTCGTTTCGGTACCAAGGGTCTGTCCATCTCCTTCGTCAGCAACGAAGATGACGAGAAAGTCCTCAAGGAGATCGAGAAGCGCTTCGAAGTTGCCCTCCCGTTGGTCCCCCAAAATCCCCAGGAATTTTATGAACAAGCACTCACCAACCACCAGTGAATACCCCGAGGAAGGTGTCGACTCCACCACCTACATGGCTTGAATGCCTGTTGAAAACTTTTCCAATTTTCGTTTCTCTTTTCAATTGTTACTGGCGCAATAGCTCGGGTTTTGATATCATTTTTTTTCGTGGGGCGCTCCCTCTGCCCTGGCTGCAGAGTGAGGCAAACTCTGCCATGTATCTGAAGATAACACTGGAATCAAGAATGGGTTGACCCTGCACATGTTTTGTTCTTCACGTGGTCATGTAGAGTATCGGCAAGTCCGACGAAGACAGAAAGATGTGTAAATCCAACCAGGTGATCAAGGTCCTGCCAAGTATCCGACCCATTCAGAGTGGATAAACAGCATCTAATCTCCAAATCGATCATCGCCATCCCCATCTGCTCCGGGGCCTAATATGCGGAGGTCCACAAATGACCACATACAGTACAGACCTTGGCTCTGGATTGCAGTCGTGCTTCAAAGCTGACTTGCAGAGCCCTACATGGCCATTGCTCAGATCCTTCACTCGATTCTTGTTTCAGATGCCGTAATCTGACTGATTCACCTTCGGAGGAACGAAGTACTGGATATGTATCTGGCATGATATGCACCTCATTTATGTTTGCGATATTCGCCGAATCAAAGTGAATCATGTCGGTCTGTTTCATTCGTTTGCATCTGTTCAATTTCTGCTTGTCAGCTGCTCAATTGACCTAGGGAAAGTTTCCCCTGCATGCTGCAGTAATGACAGCTGTCGAACTTATGGACACGGGATGGAAATTGGGATATGCTGGTGATCATAGAATACATCAATTCTATTCAACCCCAGTCAATCAATTCGATCACCCATTTTTATCCCCAATGTACAATGTATACAGCTAGACAGGATAGTTACTATACACAACCTTGGAAGTAGCATCAATATATTCACCATAACCAAACCAACTGCCGGTAACTGATACAGTAAAGACTCAACCACACCCAAACGAAACCGAAAAAAGTGGTCCAAAGCACACTAGAAGACGTTGAAAACCGCTGGTTGGCTGCCAGGTCCACCGGCCCGATCGACTCACAGGCTTAGCGTCCATCAGCAAAACAAGGCACAAGGAAGCTAATCCTCGCCCCAAAACCCTGTCTCGCATTTTCATGTGTCCACCAGAGGCCCTCTGTCTCGCTTCAGCGGAGATGAGTGGCTTTGTCTTGGTTTTGAAGATGCGAGTACGAGAACGGTGTTCGCCGGCTATTTTCACTGCCACTGCCGAGACATGATGGTTACTTTCATTACATTATTTGCTGCTAGACTGTTAGGTTGCCACTAGTTAGGCTTTTTTGGGCGCCGTTGTCAAACCCGCTGAGTCATTAAGTACAACGGCGAGAAATAGCGTGCGACCAGAGGTGATTCATGATTATGATAGGTCAATTACTTCTGTACTATGGGCGTGTCTAGGAATTTCTTTATGCATCCGCGAGTTTCCGTGTTTAGGGCTTGGGCCCCTGTGAAATTAACGGGTTTCAAGGTTAATTTATGGCAAACCGGTATTAATTTAATGACATCTGTGGCTCCTGAATCATAGTGCTATAACTCTCTAACTTGGACACTGTTTGCGGGCGCTGCAAACGTGGTTACCCCTGGCCACACATATATCTGTTTCCGGCCTATGCACATTACACTATACGCATTATACATGTAGTGTACACAGTGTACGCTTTGTACGGTAATGTATTTATGCTCCACAGCGAATCCCCCAGGTCTGGACTTATAAATCGATTCCACGTTCTAGCCCTTTCCACCTACAGATGTACAATACTGTACATAAGATAACGTTAACTGAGCATATTCCACTTCCAATACCATATATTATTGTAAATCCCCGATATCAAACCCCCGAGTCAGATACATCCCTTGATTAAACTGCAATCGGAACGTCGATCACTGTGGCATGCTGGGATTATCAACACCGCCCCCTTCACAGGGCCGATCCTGATCATCCCTTGGATCTCAGCCCCTCAGCCTCCATGCAGTTCTCACGCTATGGTTGGGCCGAAATTAGTCTTCTTCTAACGGTATTGGCAGAGTCAAAAGGAACAAAAGCCGCTTGTTTTCGTGTTGGGTGTGACTACCCCGGCATTACTCCCAAGTCTGCCAAGGTTCGAGAGAATGTCGGGGCGGAGAGGGAGAGGGAGAAGGCGAGGGAGTTGATTCTCCCCACTTGCTTCCCTGTTGTATGACAGTCTGGTTGTTAAAATTTTTTGTCGATCAGGGATACAAACCTTGCCATACTGTACTTTGTACTTTGGGATCTGTCGGGTGATAGGTATCAGGTACCTGTACCTGATTGTGGTTGATATAGTTCAAGTATGCCAGTGTTAAACTGTATTGATATACTCTGTAAAGTGTTATGTACAGTACTTTTACTGTACCCAGGTAGTATTCACTTGCAGCTCACTATTGAATTCAGCAAAACAAAGTGCCTAACAAGGTTCTATGTGTTTCGGCCGTGACTTGACAGGTCTTCATCTCTGCCGCTAATCACGTAGATAGTGGGTTTTCAAGTGGATGTGGTGACGGAGGCCAGCACGCGGCCGATATCAAGTACGCGTCAATAGTCAATAAGTGTTAAGTTTGAGCTTTTGTTACTTACACTTATATACTGAGTTATAGACTACACAGTTTAAGTATAAAGGCGAGGCTTGAAGATCGCCGGTGTACTGTATTGTAAGTGGAGGGTGTATATCGTGTATTGTATGAATCGGGAAAAAGAAAAAAGAAAAAAGAAAAAAAACGAGAAGTTAATTATAGAAGTGCCTGCCCACCCTCCACTATGTACATACCAACGCTCACAGTAGAAAAGCACAACAGAATAAAGAAGCAAAATGATATATATTTTGACTGGGATCTCGTTCTTACATATACAGGGGTATGGGATTTCAGGTCCTTGAAAGGTCCAAAGTTCCTCCGAATTAATTGCGTAGCCAGATAGATAAGGTAAGCCTTTGAATGGGGAGAATAAAATAGGGAAGAAAACAGAGATGGAAATAGAGACGAAAATTGAGAATGAAATTGAGAATAAGATCAGAACACAATCGAGAATAAAGTAGAAAAGAAAACAGAAAGAGTTTACAGTACTGTTGACAGTGAAGACAAAAATGAAAAGAAGCAAATAACCGCATCCAGACTTATCATCCGTTTCCGGAGGGGACGTTGAATCGAAAAAAGAAGCTTACGAGCGCGTACAATCTTCCTTTTTTCCCAATCCGACACTTCAAGGCCAACTTCCAAGAACGTGGTCCCCCCTCTTCGTCCTTCCTCCCTTTTTGCTTCTTCTCTCCTTCAACTCTTCACATTGGCCCTCATCCAACAACTCTTATAGGCGTCACGCCTTCTCTACCGGGTCACTCCCGCCTTCCCTCGATGGCTCCTCCTCCACGTTTGCGCATTCTGTCCGGTGAGCTTCACTTTTCACACATCTCAGAATGGACCGTCTAACCGTGTGTGCAGTTGGTGGCAATGCGATTTCTGCCTTTCTCTCATGGCGACTGCAGGCGACAACCTCCTGCGATGTGACTTTAGTCTGGAAATCAGGCTTTGACGCTGTATCACAATATGGTGTCTCATTCAAGTATGTGGCCTCGTCTTGACGGTTATCCAGTTGGCTAATCTCTCTGCAGATCCAAAGCATTCGGCAACGAGCGATTTAAGCCCCGACATGGTGAGAATCATCCCCTGAGGCTTTCTAACACTGGCTAACTGGTTTCTAGTCGTCCGCGCCCCCGAAGAAGCATCCTCTCGCGAAAATGCCTACGACTATGTCATCCTCTGCGTGAAGGCCCTGCCCGATGTCTACGATCTGGCCTCGGTGATCGAATCCGTGGTTACTCCTCAACACACATGTATCCTTGTCAACACCACAAATACCCTCGGTATCGAGGCTCATCTCGAGCAACGGTACCCGACCAACGTCATCCTTTCTCTGGTTTCCAACGTCGAAATCTCTCAGACCGGCCCCAGCGAGTTCGAGCACCTGAGCTCGAGCGAGATCCATGTGGGCGCAACCAACAAACAAACCTCCATTCCCACCTCCATCCAGAATGACATGGCAGCGGCATTGGCGATGACTCTGAATTCCGGCCAGGTTGATTGCAAGGTCTCGGAGAATATTCGTCAGGAGCAATTCGAGCGAATGATTGGGTGAGTTCTTTCCGATTCGGCATCAAAATCTAGCTAATAAGTCGTAGCCCGATCGCGTTCCATCCCGCCAGCGTTCTGTTCGAAACCCCGAACCATACACAACTTCTCGAGAAAACGGGCGTCCGTCAAGTGGTAACAGGCATCATTGATGAGTTGATGGAGCTTGCCTCTGCCCAGGGCTGCTCATTCCCCAGCGATTTCCGGGAGAAGACGATCGAAAAGATGACTGCCACGGATGCTCCGACCACGATGTACCAGGATTTCCAGGCTCGCCGCCCGATGGAGATTGAGACTTTCCTCGGATCCCCGATCAAGCTGGCCCTCGAGTCCAACACTCGCGTGCCCCGGATTGAATCCCTGTACGCAATGATGCACCACGCCAATATTGTCAACCAAAGCAAGCCCCGGCAGGAATCCCCGCCTGCATCAGTGATGGGCCAGCCGCCTCCACGATTGTCTTCCGCCCCTCCACAGCAGCGACCCATGATGAACGGCGGACCCATGAACGGCGGACCCCCACCTATGCGAGCCAGCCGCACACCTTCAGGCATGGTCATCCCCCCACAAAGACGTGGCCCGCCCCCAGGCATGATGCGTGGACCTCCCCCAGGTGGACCGATGGCACCCCACAACCGAATTCCACGCGACCCATCATTGGAGGGGCTCGAAGAGTTCAGCCATTTGGTGGTATACGACGAGTCCGGCGAGAGTATCCCACACCAGAATGGCAATGGCGCTCTTGAGCCTAACGCGGCACCAGTGTCGGATATAGCGTTGCGAGAGCGGGAGTTGGCTCTTCGTCAACGAGAGCTGCAGATCCGGGAACAGGAGATGGGCCTGCGCCGGGGTCCTCCTGGCCCTGCACGCCGTGGACCGCCCTCCCGGGCCCCCACAGCATTTGACGAAGAAGACGAGGATTACTTTGACCCCATGGATACGATGGCCATCCCGCACATCGACCCCGACAGTGTGGACATGATGAGTATGACTTCCCGCCGAGGCCGCAAGGGCCCCAGTCACAGTCAATTCCGCAAAAACCCCGAGTTTTCCGTGTCCGCCCCTCCCAGCCGTCCCTCCTCATCAGCCTTCGGGCGCTACTTTGGCAGGAAGCGCGCGAGCGATCGCGTGATGCAAGAAATCCCGGGTCTCCACGATTCCCTCATGGACAACCCGATGATGAGCTACTCTTCCAACAGATATGGTGCCGTTGACCGAAACCAGATGAATATGGACTCGCGAGCCAACTCCCTCACGGCCAGCCACATGGGTGACTACCCACCGAGGCCCTTCCCGACGAGCCGGCGTAACAGCCAGTCCCCTGGAACTCCCCCTCGGCGGACCCTCAGGGCCCCCGGACCCCATGGTCCTCCTGGACCAGGCCCCCGGATGGGTCGGCCCCCAACCGCACATGACCACAGCTTTGGACCCCCTAATGGACCTCACGGTCAACCTTCGCCCCCTGGTAACATGCGAACGCCGGTGCCGCGGTATCCTCCTGGACATGGAAACGCGGTAGGGCCGCAGCAAGTTGAACAACACTATGGGGTGAGCAACACGTTTCCTGCCAAGGGCCCTCTTAAAAACAAAAGTCTGACCGGAAGTGCGAGCGCCAGCGCGGAGAGTGGTGATAGCGGAGCGAGTGCGAACCTCGACTCTGAGCCTTCATCTCATAGCAGTCAGGTCAGCCTGGGCCAGGGAGTCGCAGCACCCGTTCGCTGAACCCGACCCGATGATTGACTGAATTTTATTGACGTTTCATTCGGCCTGGACGAACCTCCACCGAACATTGGTCATGTTTGGACCATTTTGCATCATGGCGTGTCAATGCAGCGGGGATATCATTCTTCGGTCCCGATGGGGGCACCGGTTAATACTGCTGTTTCGTTTCTTTACATATACATGAGGGACATAGGGGTCTTCATTGCGTTTATTTTCTGTTTCGGAGTGGATCGGGGTATGGGTGTGCGCGTTTCGTCTTTTTTCCGATTTCTCTCTGCATCGATACTCATGTTCGCGGCATTATCGAATTCTAATGAGGCTGCGCGAGCCAACTCGGGGCAATTATCCTTCCTCTCTCACACTCTCTGTTCTATCTCATTGTGTCTTTTCACAGCATGTCGATATAGCGTCGTCGGCAATCTCACCTGCCCATCTTCTCATCCCTCTGCATGACTGTACACTACTCGGGCCGGCGCATTCCTTTTCTCTGGACTCGTATACGCCTTTTTGCTTTGTCTGTTTTACCACCATTTGCTGGGCACTTCCTTCCTTTGCTTTTTCCTTGCCTCAACTAGCCCTCTGATTTTGACGCATTCCAAAAGAGCCGGAGGTTCGATTTATGTTGAGTCGCCTTCTGGGTCTGCGCTTTGCTGGGCATTAATGAGTGTGACTGTTCGGTCTGGACAGACTGTATCCTTCCGAATTGATAGACCTTCCGTTATATCACCTACATTAAGAATAGAATAGAGTGATTTGCTACTCTGTATGACTTCTCCAAGTATACGATAACGTATCACCACGTGACGTAAACATTCCCTCTAAACAATCAATCAACAATCCCACCCACTACACACACCAACACTAACACCACACCAAACCAACACCAACCCAAAGATAAACAAAATGCCCATCCCCCCAATACACCGCCGTCAAGACTCGACAACAACCTACAACCCTCGCCCCTCAACAATACCCCAAAACGCGTTCAACCAAACCCAAGCCCAGACCTTCACCCAAACAACCTCCCAACCCCAAATCCCCTCGTCAACCCCCTCAATGTCCGCAGCCAAAACCCGCCAATATGCCCACCTGCACGCCCAACTCGCCCAGTTAAACGCCAATCTCGCTGACACCGAGAACCTACTTCGCATGACGGCCGTGCAGGCAGGTGATATGCGTTTCCTCGGTGGGTATATGGGTGCGTTGTTTATGGGGTCTGCTAAGGTTCTTGGCGAGGAGGGGGTCCGCGCGAATGCGGATTTGGATTCTAGGGATGGTGCGGTTAAGAAGGAGGAGGGGAGTGAGGAGGAGTGAATTTCTATTGGGATTGAATTACGAGAGTTTATTGAAATGGGGTTTTGAATTGGGATGGGTGCGTGGGTGGATGTTGATTGGAAGTTGGTGAGTTACTTGGTCTATTTCTATGGACATTGCTAACTTTGTTAACGTCTATAGCCCCAGCGGAGGCATTACTTCCCCTCTCCACCTGGGCATCGAGGATCGGGCATCATCTAAATGACCCTCGCAATCACTCAACAACGAACTGTCCACCGAGGATAATCGCCGGTTCATCGATATTGTGGTGCTCGTAACTGTCGTCACGTCAGCCATGTTTAATCTCTATCGGACAGTGCTGCTTCTGCAAAGGATATCCAATCTTACCTGAGCGTTCCAATACCACCAGCCTCCAGAATCAGCGACGTCTCCGTCAAAGGCTTCCCAGTCCAGCGCATGGCAAATGCACGCAGGATATGTCCATGCGCAACGACGAGCACGTCACCCTTTGTATCATCGGGGTTCTCAAAGCAGGGACGCTGGTATTTCTCTCTGATCTCGGCGATCAGAGCATCAAGACGCCGGATGACATCTTCGGGGGACCTACAGGGAGATTATTAGCATGAAGAATAACCAGAAATGCAACCAAGTACCCCAAGCACAACCATAAAACATGAACTACAAACAAGGAAGAAATGGATCAAAGAATAAAAGGAATAAAAAGCTCACTCTCCACCAGGACACCCATCCGTCCAAATATTCCAAGGCCCCTCCCCCTTCTCAGCCCGAATCTCCTGAATCTGTTTACTAGTCAACCCCTCATAATCCCCGTAATCCCACTCGCGCACAGCATCCGTAATCTCAACGCGCGCTTCGGTCCGAATAGCCTCTTCCTCTTCAGGCTTGCGCTGCTCATTCCAGGGGAGCCGTTCCCGACAGCCGATCTCGAGGAGTTCGAGGGTTCGTTGTGCGCGGGTGCGGGGTGAGACGAAGCTGTACTTTATTAGTTTAGATTTATTAATAGAGGTAATATATCATATAGATATGATATGATAGTGCATTGGAATTGTCGGCTCAACTGGAAGAGAGGAGCTTACACATGTGCTAGCTTCTTCGGGACGACTAGTCTGTCGTCGCCGACTAGGGCTTTGCCGGTTGCTCGGATACGTTTCTCGCCATTCGCTGTGAGCGGGAGGTCTGTTTCGCCTGTGTGTCGGCCGTTTAGGGACCATTCTGTTTCGCCGTGGCGGATTATGAAGCAGCGAGGTGGCATTTTGTTCGGAGGAAATGGGAAAATGTGATTACGTTGACTGTAATGAGAGTGAGAATGAGAGTGAGGGAGTGAGATTGAGGCTGGAGGTTACTTTGCGTCATGGTGGGTCCGGTCCGGCTCCACTCTGGATCTACAACTGCCCTGATTTAGTCGTTTCTGTTCTATAGAAAGGGATCTCTTAGACAGCCATTGGAATGTTAGTAAGGCTTTTGTATATGAAGAATGAATGACCAATGGTGATCTATTGTGTCCATATCTGCTGGTTTTGTGCATTGTGTCTATGCATCCGATATGCCGAGGAGCCAAATTGGAATTTGGGAAGGTGATGCGAAATTTTACAAAGTCCTGAATCTGAGATAGATTGACTGGTACTACCTACCCTTTTGAATATATAGATTGTAGAGTACCTTGTGGGTTGATTCGTTGAATCTCCTAGGATGTAGCTGTAGTTATTAAAGTGCAACCTTGAGCTTTAAGACGTGCTTTACTATGTAAACTTATACGACTCATTCTTTAGTTTTATATATTGCTTTCGCCCTACTTTGTCCCCTCTTTTTTCACCACTTTTTGTCCATTTTCGGGTGCCCCGGTTATGGCTATTTTAAAATAGTGAGTTATATCAAGTTGCTTTTTCTAATACATCAACATCACCGACCAACATTACACCGCACGAAAATTTCTTCAAATGACTAAACCAAAACTCCTAAGGGGGGTGACCCCTAAGGCTTGGTTCAGCAAGCTCCGAGATCTCGCAGCTCACCAGGACGTTCCAGCATTCCTCAGGGATCACATCAATGAAGTCTCGCCCCCCGAGTTGCCACACGTGAACCCCTCTGACACGAGTGTTCACGACACGAGCTTGGCGTTTGGTCTAAAAGAAATTGAGGGATATGTGCTGTTGCAACTCCCAGACGTCCAGGTCCACCAGACGACATTTGTGAGTGGATGTCATTGCTATATCCTTGGATTAATACTGACAACATTCAGTGCTCTACCTAAAAGAGCAGGAAACCTTGGCACGACGTGCGGAAACGGTGGTCAGTATATGGCGCCATTAGTGATGACCACTCCACACATGTATGCATATAGGCGCAACGTGAAGGCTGGCAAGAAATTGCGAACATGCTCGCTTCTTTCATTTTGTAAGAAATGGAAACATGCGCTTGATATCGTTAAATAGCTCAATAATCGCACCCCAAAAGCCAGAACAAATGGATCTAATCGGTCTCCAGGGCCTAAAACATAGTGAAGAAAGTATTCTCGAACAGTCGCAGCTCCGAAGCTGGTTCAGTGAAATCCAGGTCTCTTCCTTCCGCCCATTGGTGAGACATGGTGGAATTTGCCAAGCGCCTGAGTTGGAAGTGACATGGATTGACTTCCCCGGCATCAGACGAGTTGCAGGATAGACAGTTCCTGATCCATATGCTCTTGCATCATAACCATTTCGGGACGGATATCTGGGCAAGGAACCAAATCCCCAAGTGTCGCCTCCACCAGCGGACCAACTAACCCATCGTCGTCCAATTTAGGAAGAAATCCTCCGCAACGCATAGTTCGGTTCGTCGTGTTTCTCCGTCCGGGCCGAGGTGATGATCGGCTGTCGCCAACTCTAGCTCAGCGCTAGCCTCATTTGAAGGGTTTGTAGTCTTCACTTGCTGCTATGGAGAGACGGGGAGACATTGGGTACTGGGAATTCCTCGTCAATACAAGGCCCAAAAGATGTACTCAAGGAGTATGAATTCTCCCTTGAATTAAATTATGTCGCGGCGCAAACTTTTCGGAAAGAATGTAAGAAAGTAAGGCGCGATTCGTGAGTCGGGGACCTTTGCCCAAAATACCGGGAAAATATTCTGCTCGCCACGGGTTAAACCCCGCAACTTGTCTCCATTCCATCTCCATCTGGGGGCGGGATTATCTGGAGCCGAGACCGTACGGCCCCTGACGTACTAGATACGGTTGACCTAAGAGGTATATAAGGCCGGTTGCCAGCAAGCTTCCAATAACACTTCACGCTGTCTCATTGCATGTATTTTGATCTATTACCTTTATCCCGTCATCTATCTTCAGCTATGGGGCTTACGAAGAAACCCTATTTCGGGCTCACTGGAGAATGGCTTACCTTTTGGCTCACGGTATGTCTGCTACACGTCCATGTACTATCTCAGCTGAGGCATGCTGATATACGTGATATTTCAGGTATCCTGTGCTACCGATATGATGCTATTTGGATACGATCAAGGTGTCTTCAGTATGTCGCTCCCCTTTGCTCTTCTATACCAAACATCTTGGATACTAATGCTCCGTCTTTCACAGGTGCATACTTGCCTTTACAGTAGGTGACCAACTCGGCCGCAAGAAATCCATTCTTTTGGGCACTGTTATTATGGGGGTTGGTACCATTCTTCAAGCATCATCCTATAGTCTACCTCAGATGTTCATTGGCCGGATTGTGCTGGGGTGAGTAGATCGACCATTTCTATCGAGTATGCCTACTAATAACGGGTCTAGTCTCGGCAATGGAATCAACACGGCAACGGCGCCCATTTGGCAAACGGAAACTGCACAGGCCAAATGGAGAGGAAAGTTGGTCATCCTGGATCTCGGGCTAAATGTCGGCGGATACTGTATTGTCAACTGGGTCAACTACGGTCTTTCCTTCCACGACGGCGCCATTGCATGGCGGTTGCCGATCTCTTTACAGCTTATCTTCATCGCTGTATTGCTCGTCACGGTCCCCTGGCTTCCAGAATCTCCTAGGTATAATATCGAACTATTCCTGCGTGGTGCAATGTGATGTTAAAGAGAACCAGATGGCTCATGACACAAGCCCGTGAAGAAGAAGCAATGGAGGTGCTCGCGTGCGTCGAGGCTATGCCCATTGAAGATCCACTTATCATCACTCAACGTGATGAGATCAAATTCAGCATTACATATGAATCCGACAATGCTGTCCGGTGGCGCGATCTCCTGCGCCGGAGCAAAAGCGACAATACCAAGACTCTTCGTCAGTTGCTTCTTGGTGCCGGCACACAGGCCATGCAGCAGTTCCAAGGTCTGTCGTTGATCGCAGCATATCCTGTTATACAGTCATAGGTTACTAATGGTGTATCAAAGGCATCAACATTATGAGTTATTACCTCCCCCTAGTCCTCATGAACTCGGTCGGACTCTCAGATAAGATGGCCCGGCTGTTGATAGCTTGCAATGCGACCTCATACTTTTTTTTTTTTTCGTGTGCAGCAGCTGCGATAGTCGAACGAGTCGGCCGTCGAGGGTTGATGATGATGTCTGGGTTTGGCCAGTTCGTATCCTTCCTGATTATCACAATTCTCCTTTATATGGCCAAAACGAATATAGTCTACGCCACTGCTTCCGTTGCCTTCTTCTTTTTCTACCATATCGCATTTGGAATGGGTATGCTGGGAGTTCCGTGGCTGTATCCCACTGAAATAAACTCACTTCCTATGAGAACGAAGGGTGCGGCTGTTTCGACCGCAACAAACTGGTGAGTTATAAAGACAAATTCGACTTGAAACAAACCGTGATACTCATGCCATATTCTCTACAGGATCACCAACTTTGTCATAGTCGAAATTACGCCCATCGGTATTCAAAATATTGGATGGAAATTCTGGATTGTGTGGACCGTTCTCAATGCGGTCTTCCTGCCAATTGTCTACTTCTTTTACACAGAGACAGGTTTGTTTAACTCAGTAGCCTCTGCCCTAATTCAAGCTGTTTGCTTCCAGCAAATCGAACCTTGGAAGACATGGATGCGTACTACCGCTCCAACCCACCGCTTATCGTGGCGGGCGATGCAGATGCCATTTCGACTAAGAGGCCGCTTCAGTTCGCCTACCACGAAGATGAAGAGGTTCAGAAGAATGCAAAGGAAGCTGTCACTGGTGGCGTTGGATACGCAGAACATGTAAATTAGGCGGTGCATTGTGGTGATGTTATGTAGATCTCTTGGGTACCTCGCGAAGAAAACTTGCCAAACTCGGCCTGAATTTAGTAGTTTGCGGTAACTAATCCTGCAAAAGAAAAGCCATCAATATGCAACTCGCGTATAGCGTCCAATTTTAGTGTGCACTTCAAAACCAAGCTTTCATCGCCTTCCGTGTCTGGCAAGGCGATTTCAACGCGGGCCATAAACTCGTCAAAAGCCCCGAAACCCCGTAGCACGGAATAAACATAACCTCCGCTCAAAGACCAGGGATGTCATGTTCATAAAGATCCTCCCAAAAACAATTATCATGTGGCCTGAGCGTACGATGAACATATCCAGCAGTCTTCCAGCCAAAAAACCCGGCCATTTCCCAGTCAATGAGTCCCACTATTTTGTTATCATGAACTATCAAGTTAGAATCAGTAAGGTCGTTATGCATGAAGCTCATGTCTGGATCGGTATTGGCGTCCGAGAAGAGGACATCCCATTCTAGAGGTTGGATACGGCCGTTATTACGTATATTAGGATCAGGCACGACGTAAGAGCGAGTTTGACATCTATCGGTAGGCTTGATAGAGTGTAGATGTTGGAGAATTTCTCGTGCTTGCTGTTTGAAAGATTCTTTTTGGGCTTGCGAAAGGTACGGCCAAGCAACGGTCAATGCAACGCCTGGGAGCCTTTCCTGGATCAGTACGTGGCGGCCATTGATCTAATGGGTGTGAGTATTATAGGAGTGATTAAATGGGCAGAATAAGCACCTTCCCTGCAAAGTAAATCTCGGGCACTCTAACTTTAACGCAGTTCAAGACGTTCTTCGCAATAGCAATTGCCCTGACCTCATTCGCGTCCGCGTAAGAGTAGTCGGTCTTCGTATACTTGGCGCTCCCTTGCGTATGTAGGTGGCTCGACTTGATAATAATGCTACCAAGGGCGAACACGTCGCGAGCACCCTCCTCAGCCGGATATATTCTCACAGATTCATTGCAAAGATCAACAACTGAAGCCCAGTAGTTCAATGATTCTATAGACTGAGAGCTGATATGCTGACAGTTGATATGGAAATCGTACGGTTGAGGATGATATCGACCATAAAGCGGCAGGTCCGCATACAGATCAAAAGGTGGAATGTCGTCTGGGTTCGTCACATATGGGTTCATTGAAGCAAAATAACTGTTTAAATAGGTCAATGTGTGGAAGGTATCTTACTCTTTTGTCGAACGTGGAACTAGTCTAAAGGATGTCAGCGACCACTTGGTCTGAACTTAGAACGGCATACTGGACTGGGCTGCCAAGGATCGGCGGTGTGAAGTAGACCGAATGGACAAGATGAATGAAATGAACGAGGGCAGATATTCGAGGCTTGATTCAGCCAGACTTGCTCAGGTGGTACCGTATTAGCATCTATTTTCTCGTTCATTGAGGTGCATTACCTTAAAGGGCCAGGAAGACTTGAAGAAGGGCGTCGGCATAGTTTTTTGGGCATGGATCTCTTGAGTAATCTTCAATCTGTCTTACATAAAGTATACTTTGCAAACATCTTTCATTGATCTAGAGTGTCATTGTATAGCAACGCAGCAGTCTGCAGGCCAATCCGAAATTAAACGTCCATCTCTTGTTACATTGTCAGAACGCCTCAAGAAGCTGGATTCAGATGCATTTTCCTCATAGCTTTGAGTGCATCTGCGCGAAGATCATCGACTAAAAGCACCAACCCATCGAAGCGGTTATCTTCAGTTCCAATGACTTCATCTCGTGTGAGCGCGATTCGCCGCTTTTCAGGATGCCGCGGCGGAAGTGGGAAGATGGGCTGTGTGATAGTTAGTGACAAAATAAATAGTTTAGGGGTGAATGGCTCGACTATACCTCGGTTTGGACTTTTTTCGTCCAACGTCGATAGACTCGAAGTTGTCCTGCCACTGTGTTTGCTGAAACATTCCACCATTCGATCAAAATAAGAACCTGGAGAGTTTTGGCTGCATCCTGAAGCCATAAACTGGCTGAATCGGAGGATCGGGGGATCGACCATCTAGATTCCACAATGACTCGTGGAAGTGATCCAATCGGACATGCCATTCCTATGTCGATATCTTTGACCGCATATGAATAAGGGCTTTCGAAACCCGTAGTTGCTGTATAAAAATGTAAGCTTAGGCTCTGAGTAGGATCAGTTTATCGCGAATCACATACTGATACCGTCAAGTATGTCGAGTATTTTCTCCTCGTCCTTTGTAATAAGTCCCTCTTCACACCACTCAAATAGACTCCTCATAAACCACCCTCGGTGACATTTATGGAGAAGTGTATGAATGATATTTATGCGTAGTTCCTCTGTAACGGGATTATAAGACAGACTTTAGGGGCAAAAGATGACGGGTTAGCCAAAGTAGTGACCTGTGAGAGCATGATGTATGAGCTACCGTGCATCGCGCTGGGCCAACATTTCATCGTTGCCGAGTTGACAGGAAATCCAAAATCCAGTTTCAGGCTTAATCTTCTTCCAAACGAGTTCTTGAGGAATTTGGGCCTTTTCGACAGCCGTGGTGGCCTGTACGATCAACTGATCGTCGGAAAGAATTTGTTGAGGGTTAGACATAACGAACAGACGGGTCGATTCACATGAAAGCATTGCGGTGGTGATAGAAATGTATCATATCTGAAGAATTAAAATAGAGGTGAGGTGGGGTGAGGTGGAATTTATGAGATGGAACTGAAAGCCTTGATCGAGAACAGCGAAGTACCAAGGTGTTCATTCAGTTTTTATTTTCGAAGACTGGTCGGCTCATAGTTAAGTCATCTTGAGAGATAAACATATGAATTTTGCTAACTGAAAAGCTTATTTACCAGCTTATCTACCTTTCCATCGGGAGGAGGCATATATAGAGCTTCGTAGTTATCGATCTCTTCCTTCAGCCCACCAAGGCTCAGATCTGCGGTTCCCGGCCAAATATAATTGGTTTTAAAGATCAGCTTCCAGCCGAGAAATGCAATAATAAAGAAACCGATCATGCCATAGTCCAAAAAGAACCACATCACATCCCATCCATCCTTCATGAACAGATCATACCCCCTGCCAGAACCATGAAGCTCGTACCGCCCATAGCCAGGTATGAAGTATAAGGCTGAAATCGGCCCTTGTAAGGAAGACTGTCTCGTGAAATTCCTTGCTTTGCTAGTGCAGAGTAGAAATGCCGATATGTTAGGGCTGTGAACCCGTAGTTTATCAATTGGCAGCATGTAACCAGATCAACAAGATAAGTCATGACTTCGGCAGAGGAGCTGTTGACCTGAAGAAAAGCGAGTAGACAGAATGAGAGAGAAAATAGAAGTGCCCAGAGAGGCACGCCGCTCTTAGTGCACCACGAAAAGAACCGAGGCGCATGTCCTTCGAGTGACATTCCGTGTAAGGTGCGAGTCGCTGAAAATAAAAGACCGTTACCAGCACTGAATATGGATGTCATGATAAGGGCATTGACGAGATGTGGAAGGCCATGGATTTTAAGCCGTTCCATAGCAATAACATATGGCCTAAATTGGTATTAGCCAATCCATTATATATGATGTGAAAAGGAAATCTCACGATGCTGCACCTGTGCCAGATCCAGAAATGTCCCCTCCTAAGATAGAAAGGAGAGTCGAGTCATTATATGGGATGACAATACCCATGCAAAGAGCAGAGCCCACGAAGAATACTAGAATGCGCCAGACAAAAGATCGATAAGCGGGAGGTAGAATCTTTCGAGGATTCTCTGCCTCGGCAGCAACCATAGATATGTACTCTGGCCCGCAGATCCTTGGGCTGTCAATGATGATTCCCTGATCGAAGGACTAGAGACTCACGAGAAAGTAGCCTGATACACACAAGAAAGAACGCCAAGGAACCGTCCTGTTCTCCCGGGGACAAGATGGTCAACGAATGCTCCAGGATTGTCCCAATATCGAAATCCGTATCGATCGTGCAACGGGTTGCCCCCTAGCATAGTAATAAAGGTGAAACAGAATAACCCAATCATCAAGACAACTTTGAAGATTGATAGGTAGAACTCGGAAATTCCAAAGTATTGCACACTGATCGCGTTAAGTAAGGCATAGAGAACGATCATCGCGACGATGATAGCCTCGACAGGGACCTTGTCTGTCCAAAATGTAATCATGATGTTCATAGCCACCATCTCGAAAGGCACAAGAAATGCCATATTGAGAAAAAAGTTCCAGGCCATAGCAAAGCCTAGCGCACCGTCAACCCATTCGCTACCAAAGCGAATGAAGGGTGATGGCACAGGGAGGTAAGTCACCATCTCGGCAAAGCACTCGTTAACCGCCCACATAACCATTCCCCATAGAATGAAGGCAATGAAGAGACCAGCAGGTCCTCCTTTTGGTAACGCCGAGCCCATCTGAACATATAAAGCTAGTAGTCCAGTTAGATTTGTTTCTTGAAGACAACGGTCGACTCACAAGTTCCAATTGCTCCACCAATTGCAAACAGCTGCACTTCTTTCCCGCGTAATTTGCGATGCAAGGCTTGTGAACCGGCAGTTATGCTTGAGACAGTTCCAATGGTCGCATCATCCGTAGCATCGGGAGTAGGTTCACTGCTAGGCGAAGATGATGGCCCCTTCTCAGTGTACTTGGAGGTAGACATGTTTTCCTAGTTTAGTGCCAAGCTGAAAAAGAAGAAAAATCAAAGTTAACGATATTAGTGTAGCTCAGGTGATTTTAATGAAACGGTAGAAAGTTTTGTTGACACATTCTGACGTGCTTGTGGTATGTCTTTGGGTAGCGTTGGCATCGCGTCTGTTTTAAGAATGTTTATCGGTGAGAGATGAAACCTAGAATGGTTACGACTGGGGTATCAAAACGATCTACGCTATCAAAATCGCTAGTATTGGCGTCAAAGCGTTTGATTCATATCTGTTCATTGGATGATCATAGAAAACCAACTGAGACTTGGTCGTCCATACAAATTAAAGAGAATTATCGCACTATCGGAACTTCCGATAGCTTTTTTTCCACTAACTTGCCCTTATCTGCTGAACTAAAAGCACATTGCGGCTCGCCCGACAGATCATCTTTCTCTCAACCTCGACCATATTGCGAGAAGCGACGGGTGCACATTTGAGTGAATAACCCTAGCATTCACTACTGCAGAGGCTCGCTTGTTTTTACCCACAATATATATTAAATTATCTTCGCCTTAATATGTTTGTACGATGCAGTTGCTATTTCTTGAAATTGCCATTGCACAAGTAATCCTCGTACTGATAGTGAGGCTGGAATTCGGTAAACAGAGTCTCCTGCATCTCATATCAGTAATGTATCTAAAATTTGGGTTGGAAATAAACTCACAGGAGTGCTCGCCATCTTGAAGTTGTAGGCAGCTTCTTCGTCACTCACGATATTCTTCTCCAACTCCACTCGATCGGTCAACAACTGGATCTTGCAACTCCTTTCCATCAAACAGAAAAGAAAAGCTGCTTCATCCACCGTCTCTCCTACCGTAAGGAGCCCATGATTCATCAAAATGGCAGCTTTGCCATCTCCCAGGCTCTCAGCGATTCTCTCTCCCTCAGACGACTCGTTTGCGATGCCTCCATAATCCGAGTACACTGAGTGAGCCTTATAAAAGTAGCATACATCTTGATTTATCATATCAAGCGGCTTTGCAAACGCCGACCAAGCTCTGCCATGGACAGAATGGGTATGGCATATAGCATGCACGTCTTTACGCGAACGATGCACTGCACTATGGATTTGGAAGCCAGCAGCGTTGATAGAACCAGCCATGTTTCCGTCCACAACATCGCCATCCAAGTTCACACAGATCATGTCGCTGGCCTTCAACATCCCAAAGTGGACGCCCAGTGGGTTGATCCAGAATCGATCCTCGAATTCGGGGTCGCGTACGCTGATGTGCCCTGATATGCCTTCCGCGTAGCCCTCGCGTGCAAAGACTCGGAATGCGCCCGCCATGTGTTCAAGTTGCCACTGTCGCTTTTTGGCGCTGGAAGCGAATTTTGGAATTCCGGGGAGTGATTTGCCTCTGTGGGCCATAGCAGCCATGGCGTCGACGGGTTTGGTGCTGGATTGAATACCAGTAAGAACATCTGGTTGAGCTGCAGAGGGTGCCATTTTTGCTGGGCCGTAGATATCCAGGAGAGACTGGTAAGATAGACAGGGTTTGATATTGAAGGGTGCTAACTCCTCGACTGAACTCCCTGCAAATCAGCATCTTCCCCCAAGCTTTAAATCCTACCAAAACAACACAGCTCCTGCTCAACCTCCATGAGGCCTCCAACCCTCTGAAGTCGGCTGGTCCGATCATACAAATGTGCTTGCCAAGAGATAAATGCTCTTGGGCTGCGGGGTTGCCGACGCGAAGTTGGAGAAAAGATAAGGCGTGCGGAGTATGTCACGATATCCGACTTCCCTCTCACAACGAACAGAGTTGAGATGACTGAAAGTGTTGCCTACAGAGGTTGGTAGAAAGAGATGTCTCAACAACTCTTCGCGAATACTAATCGTTACAGCCTTTGAGGCTCTGTCAGAGAACACAGGATACGTTGCGGCGCTAATTTTGTCTGCTTATATCTTCTACCAGCTCATCTACCAGCCACTACTGGCAACTCCTCTACGAAAGCTCCCAGGTCCAAAGGCTTTCGCCGCATCTAAATGGCGACTGGCGTTTGCCGACTACCATGGAGTCAGAACTCAATGCGTACACTCCTTACACCTGGAGTATGGCACTGCAGTGCGCATCGGTCCAAATGAGGTGTCATTCTCCTCCCTTTCCGCTCTAAGAACGATCTACGGTGCAGGATCGGGGTTTGAGAGAACAGAGTTCTACAGAATGTTTGACGTCTATGGACGACAGAATCTTTTCACCTTTGCTGGCACTAAACAACATGCTGAGAGGAAGAAGCTACTTGCCCATGCTTATTCCAAAAGCATCGTACTGTCGCCCAACGCCATTGCAAAGCCCTTGATAGAGAAAAACGTGAAGAGCTACCTGGACCTGTTGGAAAGGGAGAAAGATGTGGCCGAGGAGATATTCCAGAGCCTTCATTGGTTTAGCCTTGACAGCATTACCGGCTTCCTTTACGGAGATCAATACGGAGGAACGCATGCACTCGGAGGAAATGATACGGACAGGAGGATGCTGAGCGATATTATCGACCCTAGTCGGCGAAAGCTAAGCTGGTATGCGGTACACTTGAAGCAATACACGAAGTGGCTTTATACACGGACGGGAGCCATAGAGAAAGTTGTCACAAAGCTCGGGCTACTGCCTATGCAGAAACCTGCAACCTATACGGGTATTCGAGCACATGCCCTCCAATCATGGACCGGGTTTGAGACTGCTGCAATGGAAAAGGATCCGGAGCAGGACCTGACCATTGCTGATAAGTTGTGGCGCCACAGGAAATCTGGCAAAGGTACTCGTCTCGATGGTCTCGATATGGCCTCCGAATTGGCCGACCATCTACTAGCCGGTATCGATACGACAAGTGATACCCTGATGTTCGCGATATGGGCTCTTTCTCGACCAGAGAATAAGATCTATCAAGAGAGACTAATCCAAGAAGTCGATACTATTCTCGACACAGATTGCAACGAGGACGGAAATCCACTCGCTGAAGTCGCCGACCGATTGCCTTACCTTGATGCTGTTCTCAAGGAGACACTTCGGCTATATGCCCCTCTACCAGCATCAGAGCCGCGATCGATGCCGGTTGACACAATAATTGACGGTTACCTTATTCCAGCCGGAACCATTGTGAGCATGTCACCGTACACACTTCATCGCAATCCTGATGTATTCCCGGACCCTTTGAGATTCAACCCTGAGCGATGGCTCGGTCTATGTGGGGATCTTACAGAGATGAAAAAGTGGCTCTGGGCGTTCTCTAGTGGAGGCCGCATGTGTATTGGCTTGCAGTAAGTTTAACTCGGTGAAAGAAGACAAAAGTGAAGATCCTTTGACCAATTATTCTAGTCTTGCCATGGCGGAGATGACAACATTGCTTGCTGCCATCTACAGAAAATACACTACTAGTGGGTATGAGAAGCAGCAAGGCGTGAGCCCTGGGATTACGAGCCGATTTGAAGTCTTCTATGATGAGACCTTCTCCACATTTGAGGTAAGAAGTTGCTGACGCCTCAATATAGATGTTGAATATTTACAGTACTTTGCATTAGGAACATGAATGTTGGATTGGGTTTAAAAAACGTAATTTCTGAATCAGCAATTTTATTAGTCCGGGAAAAACGAAAAATGACATCTTTCCAATCTGATTCAAAAAGATTGTTCCCAACATGATTGTTTTGTGTTTAAAAGCTTTCCAGTAATCGATTGATACTCAGTCACGTGGGGCGGTTTGAATACGCGACGTCGTTTAATCTGAATGTTCCGTGTCAGCTACTATAAAACTTTATTGTGCAGACATTGATCGAGCAACTCAAAATCTCCTGTATGTTATTGCTAGTGATTGGAGACTCAAATCAGCATCCTGCTTATCGTCTCCTCAAACATCAGCATCCAATCTGAATCCAAATTCCACTTCGGCTTCACCTCGTCAATGGCGGAGAACTATTCATATATCTCAACGAGAGAGATTTTTGTCGATGTCTTCTGTTCCCGGCTCTAGACTGCCGAGCTGGGCTCAGACTCCCAGCTCAGGCAATCAGGATGGCGTCTCACAAGATCCAATCGAAACAACCTACCTTCGACTGAAGCTCAAATATGCAGAATCATTACACCAGAACTGGATTGAGAAACTCGAACAACCCAAACAAATCTTGGAGCAGCTATATCTGGCTGCCTACCTGATTGAACTCTGGCGAGGCATGTACGGCGCCGTTCCAGCAACAGACCAATTACAACCTCAACCAAACAGCAATGTGCTATTTCCGGGGTTTGTGAGTCTAGCCTGTGGGAGTGGTATCCTCGTGTACGTGCTTTATATGGAAGGGTACAAGGGATCAGGCTTTGATGCCCGCCGTCGCAAAACCTGGGAGACATATCCCATCGAGGTACAGGACCGCCTCGAGGAGAGAATATACATTCCCCAGCCTTTTACAGATGCCATAGGCCTGCCAGATATCGAAGCAGAAATACACACGGGCGACTTTCCAGCCGATGTATTCATCATATCTGATCATTCAGACGAGTTGACTGTTTGGACTCCACTTATGGCTGCCCTTGCTAGTCCGTCGTCTCCTTTGCCGTTTTTCATTATACCGTGTTGCTCTTGTTCTCTTTCTGGCATTCGCTACCGCTATCCTCCGAAGAAAAGCATACTAGAAAGAAAGAGTGTCAATTTCAATACGAGTACAAATGCCGAAAAGTATGTGGAGCAGAATCCTCAACCTTCTTCTGGCGATTTACGATCTCTTCGAGCCACAAAAGACGAGCAGAAAACTGATCGTGGATTCGGCAATTCTATGATTGGGTCTCTTACAGCTAAGACAAGAGATATTGCTGAGGAAGTTAAGTTCGAGGTTGAGGAGACATATTTACAGACCCCAGGTGCTTTTTCCAGGGCTTCCAGGGCATTGATAGGGAGAAGAAAGCAGCAGGTAGAAGAGTCGGCCAAAACGAGCCCTGGCCAGAGCTCCCAGTCGGCGCTAGTGGATAAGGTCACCAAAATTATTGAGCGTGAATGCGCTAAAGATGGAGGAGTTCAGGCTGCTGCCAAGCTCTGGATTGAGCAGGCGAAGAGCCTTCATCGGCAACAAGGAGATTGATAAATAAGTGGATATCAATTGGTATTTCGTTAGGTATGCTCTAGATCTATTCACAGCGAACATGTAACATGAATCATGGAGGGGGGATATAGAGGAAAGACTGTGTAATGTACAAAAATAATACAGTGCTCTTCAACTCCGTTGCTGTTAGTTGGAGATTCAAATCCAAATGCCAAAAGATTTCTGAAGGAAGCGCGATGACCGGTCGGCCATTGGATATGTCGATAGTAATTTGATCACACGCCTGACTTGTTGACTGGGTCAGGCTTCACATTAGCTTCGCGGGGGGCAACAGTTTCCTTTTCAGTGCCCTTGCCACCTTCTGAGCGAGACGTGTTTTGAGAAGGAGAAGCTGGAGCTGGAGATTGTGCAGCAGCAGTGCCAGCGCCATTAGGAACTCCAAATTTGGTGTTCCTAGATGCAGCCTGAGCTGCTGCATTCTCTCTGAGACGCTTCATGCGTTCGGATCTGCCTTCACCTGGGAGACTGCCCCAGATAGGTTCGATCGAATCGGCGCGCCAGTTGTTGCGGTTACCGCCGAGTGCACTGCGCTTCGGAGATAGCGGAGCGAGAGAAGTGCCTCCCACGCCAGATTCACCCCACATGCGGACGCGCTGGAGCTTGCGAAGTTTGGCAAGTCCGTAGACGCATACAAAGCCTGTAAGAGCGAAGCAGATGACTGAGACACCACCGAAACCGAAGTCGGATTCTTCGATGAAGTTCTTCAAGTTCATTCCGTAGAGAGCGGAGAATAATGTTCCTGTTGCGAGGCCGAGTGTTCCAATGCTGAACTTAAGGTCCATGAGCATGAGCGAGTTGCGGTTGGCATCGAGAATGGCCTTGACTCTGTTTCATGTTAGAGGTGCCTGGTATTTTGAAACCAAGAGTGAACGTACACTTCTTCTGTGTTGCGGATATTCGTCACAAGGTTACCACTGGCCTGAACGATTTCATCGCACACCTTGTGGTATGACTCCAGGAGCATTTCAACTTCTTGGTGATCATCCTCTTCTCGCTCTTTGCCCTTCGATCTCTCGGACAAATACATAGCTGCCAAATCGTCATCTGCTTCTAGCAGATCATCGATAGCATCTCGTACCAATCGAGCTTTCTGTTCGAATGTACCCAGCTTCTTAGAGTAGATCAAAAGGTGCCGAAGCTTATCACGATCGATATCTTCTTCCAGCGCGCGTAGAACACGCACGACCGGATCTCTCACTCCGTTAAATTCCTCCTCAAGGCCACTTGTTACACTGATGAGAACGGCTTCCAGCGCGCGGAACTCGTATGGTAGTGACTGGCTGGGCTGAGTGGCAAGCTGTGATTGCTTTTGGCGTAGCTTTCCTTCTAGATCGTAGATGAACAGCGATTGCATGTAGGAGTCTGTTGATCCGTACGCGTCGAACACAAGCACTCGGTCCGCTTTGATGAGCACTCGCAGGTGAAGGAGGTTGATTAGAATGGCACTCGGCCGTACCAGAATATGAGGGAGAGTTGACGAATCGATCTTGCGCAGGTCCCGAGGAAGCAGTCCGTACTATATCACACGATTCATTGGTTAGCAAAGGTCCAGGTCTAGCATGCGAGGTTAAATATTAACCTTTGCAATCAGCTCCAGCTTCCGAAACTCCCCATTTACAAGCGTGACGTCTCCATTGATGTCAAACTCCGTGCATCGAATTCGCAGCTCGTTTGAAGCCTTCGCTGAAAGGCTTCGGCCAATGTTGAATAAACCCTCCGTGCCTTCGTCAATAAGCCCAGGACCAGCAGGCCTTTGGTTCTGGTATTCTGACGCTTTATTCCGCTTCAAATCGAACAGCCGCCGGAGGAATGGGCGACTTTTGGTGGACGCGAGACGCGAGAATGTTACCTGTGTCGGCATTGGTGACGGCAAGAGCATTGGTCTGGTCGCGCTGGATCTTCCATTCGTGGCGCCATCATTTCTTGCAGGGTACGGAGTCGTGGGACGTGTCCAGCTCGAAAGTTTGGAGGTTCGTTCAGTCGAGAAGGCCTTGTCGCGGCCGAGACGTTTCGGGCGAGCGCATGCTGGGGCAGCCGAAAATCCAGACTGTCTATGTAGAAAGCGCAGTAACGAAGCTGAAGGAGCAGACAGCTTTGGAGACAGCATGTCTGAATGTCGAGCTGTTAATTCTCGCGATGAGATCAGATGCGCTTTTTTCCCGCTCTCGGAACAAGGTTGATCCGGGCACCAGAACTATGAAACTTCAAAACATTCTTGTTTTTTGTCTCCTTAGTTGTACACAATTCTGCTGTGACATTCAGGCCCTCAGTAAAGAGCAGAGAGCTATCTCGGTGATTAACGCTACTGACATCTACGATTCCCTACTCAAATACTGAACCAAGCTGTTCGCACTCTACCATTGAAAGCTATATACAAAGTGCATTGTCTTGCCTCCCTCTGAAGCGCTCTTAAAGCCAAACTTTTGAGCAGAGAAATATAATGCTCGATGCTTGCAAGAATGCAAAGCCATTGGTATCTTAAAATACTTGAACAAATCCACCGCAAACTGCTCACCAATCGTCATCGTTGTCTTTTTCGTCATCTGCGAGGATAATTAGTTACCATATCATTCATTTCAAGGGTCATTTTTTACGTACCACTTCCGCTGACCCTCTGTTTTCTCTTGTTGAGGGCATCTTGCAATGCGCCAGCCAGACCACCCTGAGGAGCACCTCCTCCGCTGGGGCTCCCAGCAGACTCGTTAGCACCACCGGGCACCAAGGCAGCACTTCGATCTTTCTTGTCAGAGTCTTTGACCTTGCGCAGGCCTCCACCACCGGAGGCTCGGATGGACGCCAGAAGATCATCGCGTCCACCGGTGCTCTTAGGTAAGGGTGGTGTGGCACCCCCAGCAGGGGGAGGGGGAGGTGGAGCACCGCCAGATCGACCAGGCGGCGGAGGTGGAGGTGGTCCCCCAGGTGCCCCAGAACCACCTGCAGGAGGAGGCGGGGGAGGAGGCATTGAAGGGCCGCCACGCCCTGGAGGAGGAGGTGGAGGGCCACCAGGTGCCGCAGAGCCAGGCGGCGGAGGCGGTGGAGGGGGAAGGCTCGGAGATGGTGTAGGTACAGATGGCGGGGGAGGGGGCGGAGGCGAGATTGGGCCTCGGGGCGGTGGTGGTGGAACCGCTGCAGGAGAAGATGGCGCGGCTGGCACCGGTCGAGGAGGCGGTGGTGGAGATACAGGACCCCTGGCGGGTGGAGGTGGAGGGGGTCCTGTCATAGTAGTTGTAGCCGGAACTTTAGGCGGTAATTGGGGTGGTGCTGCTGGGCTCATCGCACGAGGCGGCGGGGGAGGAGGCCCACCTGGTGCAGGGCTACGGCTTGGTGGTGCCGGCGGCGCGGAGACCTTGCGATCACCAGAGAACGCCGGTGGTACCCCGAATCGAGATTGACTAGGTTGGTTCTCTTCCATGGGGGTTTTCGGGGGGCGCGGTGGCGGCGGAGGACCGGGATTAACATTCGATGTAGCGCGTGGACGGCGCGGCGGCGCAGGGCCAGCTGGTTCGGCAAATTTGCCTGCATCTGCAAGTGGAGGAGGAGCGTTGAATCTGCGGGCAGGCGGAGATGGTTCACGAGGAGGAGAAACTGGTTCCTCTGCTGCTTCGGGGCGTGCCTTTCGAGATGGAGGGGGTGGCGGGGGGCCGCGTCGGCTTGACGAGCTGGATCCTGTGCCTTGAGGGCTGATTGTGTTCACCTTTGGAGCAGGAGGCGGAGGAGGTGCGGCTTTAGGCTTGCTCTGTTCCTCGGTAGGCTCTGATTGAGCTGCCGCTTGCTTCTGATCAATGTACATCTTGATGAAATCGGAGTTCTCGGCAATTTGGTCTTCGGTAATTCCCATCTCCTTGAGCTCGTCCAACAGCTTTGCATCAAATGGCAGGTCTGGCTTAGCAGCAGGCGCGCTTGGAGGCGCACTTGGAGGCGCGCTTGGAGGCGCACTTGGAGGCGCGCTTGGGGCCAGTGTCGGGGGAGGAGCAACCTGTATTGACGGCGCAGGTGCTGTCGGCGGCGGCGCACTTGGAGCTGCGCTCGAACGATGCAACAAGCTACCGAACAAAGACCGACCAACCTTCCCATTGGCAATAGGAGCCGGCCCCTGTCCCCGGGTTGACGCGAATGGGGTCTTGAGTGTCTCTTTGCTCGCATGTTTCTCGCGCTCATGCAACTTCTTGATAAAGGTCTTGGCCTCCTTTTCGTCAACGAAGGATAATCCGGCGGCGCAGTCTTCAAGTTCGAATGTATGGAAGAAGGTTCGGTCCTGGTTGTAAGCAAAGTTGTCATAGAGCTCCTGGTCCCATATCACGCCTCTTCCAGCAGGCTTCGCCATCGCATTGTCAGCACTCAGCTCTTATCTCTGGGTCCAACATACACCACTCACCGAGACATCGACTATCTTCAGCCAGAAGGTTCTTCCTACGAGGTCATTGCAGAGAACTGCGGCCCCTTGAATACCGGTAGATGTCCATCGCTGTCCATCGGGGTAGGCAACGTAGAGTCGTGCGACAGCTACGGCGAGGATCTTGTTGGCGGGTTTGGGGACATTCCGCTTGACAGTCTCCTTGTCGGCATCGCTGAGGATAGAGGGCATGGTGATTTCAGGGGAGCCCACAGTAGACGAAGAGAGGAAATGTGTAGTTCGAAGGGTTGCTAAATGAGTAGATCACACATTGCAGCCGGGCGGGTATCTTGATGGAGTGCCCAACACACCGACTAATAGGATAGCGGCGGGAGGTACGGAGTATAAGGGGGGAGATTGAGGTATTCCGGATCGGAGGGAGAGAGGTAGGTGGAGAGGAGCCGAGCGGCGGTAGCCTTGGGAGTTGGAGATGATGAGGGAGGTGAGAAGACGTAGGCGGGGGACCCAGTACACCGGAGTGACCTGGGCCTTCCGCCGCACCGCCATAGTGGCACGTGGTACTTTGGATGTACTATTAAGGCGTGCCCCAGGGCAATTTCGACATCTCTGATATTCTAAAGTACAATTGTATTCTATTTCGGATCTATTAAAACGTTCTATAGTAAGAAAAGGGGTGTTAGCAAGTGGGATGCTGCTAAACGTGAAGTGCGAATTGTATAGAAAGAAAAGAGGGAAATTCACCTTATTGGCGAAGTTTAAGAGGCCTAAGCTAAATGACGTTGATATAGTATGGAGTAGTATGTTCATTCTACAAGTGACTTCGCGTCTTGCTATGAGTGATACCAACACCTACAGTAGGACTAATTTGCAACTAAAATAGGCAATTTGTATAGCAGTCTGTCTACACAAGAAATGTGTTTCTCAGCTTTTGTTTGTCCAACCCATATACTGTGCAAGGTCACGGCCTAAACCATTATCTTCTCAAACATCGTGACAGTCTCTTCCAATGCCCGCAATCTGGCTCCGATATCTCGCTTCCGGCTCTCAGCTGATCGCATGGCCTCAGTGACATCCTTGTCTTGCACTTGCTCAGCTCAGCCTCGAGCGGGTCAATGTCACTGAAGCCTTTTCAGTCACTTTTTGGGCATCTTTTATGCGATCCTTGACATGAAGATAGATATTCGCGTCAGCAGAAACAGGGAAGACTGTTCAAAATGCTGATTTCTACTGTTATCTTGCCACTGAGTGACTTGATCGCGGAAAGCTGAGCGGACGCGGTATTGTGGGCCATTTGGTTCAGAGGTGCAATTTGAGCCACGGCTTTATCCTTGACAGCATAGTCCGGTACCAGTGAACAAATACCTTTGGTACAGCCCAGCACAGACTCATAGGCTGTCTCAGATCTTGGGTAATCGAACGACGACTCATACGCCGGATATTCGACGATTGTGATGGACGATGTGCTGTCTTTTGGTCTGCGTGGTAGCCGCTGTCAAAGCTCTTGCGGTTTCTGGCCTAGAAATTCAGGTTCTTTTAGCGAAGTAACTTATTTGATTCATGGAGCATCTTCAATCTTATTTCAATATTCAGTTCAATACTTCATAAACTTTATTATCTTACGCACACTGTATATCGCTTATGGTTAGTAAAACTAGACCGATCAGAGGCATCATATTGTTGGCCTGAGGGCGAAGCATAACTATAAATTCGCTTCAGCAAGATAAAAACTTATATAGCAATCAGAAATAGGGTAAGTCAATTAACCAATCATAGAATCATGTCGTACCTACATTAACACATTTGCACTGCCATAGGTAACATTGTTAATTTGTCGCCCACCGACGTCATCCCGTCTGAGATCTATAAAACTGACACTTCAAGTCCTGTTTCTCCTGTTTCCTAGTACTACTTCATTTGAACTCTCAATACTCTCTACCCAAATTTAGAACGCTCTGCTGTTTCATTATGCCTGTGATCCCTGAACCGTCGGACTTTCCAGCTGTGCTCCAAAAGGGAGGCAATGAGTCTCAGAAGAAATCAAATGAAGAGTCTCAGAAGAAACCAGATGATGAATCCCAGAAGGCGTCTGCTCAAGACTTCTTGTCCAAGGGTCCTCATATTCCTGAGAGTATGTAACTCACTAAACTCGTGTCTGCCGTGGCTAACTCCCTGTAGACATGCCCCCCAAGGCTTCGAAGGAGGAACTCGAGGCACGCATGAAGGAACTGAACAAGTGATCTGAGGGACTGTCGATAGATGATCTTAGTTTTGCTATGATTTACGTTTTTTAATCACTATTCTTTTTATTTTGTCTGCTCTTTTTTATCATCAGTCCGGGAAATTATTCAGACTTGTGTACGCAGGCAATACTACCTAGCTGTCTTCCGGTGCTCCTCTATCAGGGGCATGCCTGTCTTAGCCAGAGTAATTAGTGCACATGAATTCTTTCACATGATGCTTTGATCAAAATTTATTCTCGAGGTGGTTACACTTAAAGAGTTGACGTAAACTGGGAAGCCACCTAGTGCTGTAGCTCTACGTTTCATGGCTTGAATTTGGACATACATACTATCAGATGGCCAGTTGAATTAATCTTCAAATCCTCTGGGCACCTACTTAGGAACAGTTCAACTGTGCCAAATGTTCTTCATACTTCCCAAGGTAAGACATTACGTCATATGTCATGACACGTGACCTCGTGACATTTTGACTGACCAGATAGTCCGTTGCCTTAACGCGTCAGGAAGTGCTCCCTATGCCTCCAGAACGGACTAATGTGCCGGTGAAGTTGTCCCTGCCACTGGTAAGTGACCCATGAGCCCATAATGAGTGGTACAAAGCACCTAACTAACTTACTTGAAGCAATACCAGCAGGAGCTCTTCACCGAACTACGCGCCGAAGATGAGCTAGTCGTGCTCGCACGCGGCCTCGGGCTACTACATCTAATAACCAATCTACTTCATTTCTACGATGCGGCTGGGAACAATTTGGTCTTGGTGGTTGGGGCGGATGAACGTGAGAATGAGTGGATCGGAGAGGGTAGGTGAATTAGACCAGACGTGTCGAGCGACGGAATCACAGGCTGACGGGCTTGGAATAGCACTGGCGGAGCATTATGCTACTAGCAAGTCACCTCTTGCTAGGGGATTGAAGGTCATCAATACTGAGAAGGCTACGGTGCCGATGAGGTGGGTATCGTAGATCTGCCATGTAGACTACGGTTACTGACAAGCTTCCAGGGAGAGAATCTATGGTGAAGGGGGTATTCTGAGTGTAACATCCAGAATATTGGTCGTGGATTTGCTCTCAAGTATGCATACGTTCTATAATTTCTCTTGCACCTGCTGATCCTTACAGAGCTGCTTGATCCTGAAAAGGTCACTGGTATGATCATCTTGCATGCAGATAAGTGAGTTGCATCTATTGATTAATATTTGTACAGCAACTGACCCATGTATAGGGTTGTGGCAACGTCGCTCGAGGCGTTCATTGTCCGTGTCTATCGGCAATCGAACAAGCGTGGCTTCCTGAAAGCATTCTCGGATTCCCCAGAGCCATTTACGACAGGCTTTGCGCCCCTAGCCAAGATGCTGCAGAATCTCTTCCTTCGCAAAGCATCACTATGGCCTCGTTTCCACGTGTCCGTAGCGGAGTCACTGGAAGGAAATCGAAAGGCAGAAGTGATCGAGTTGGAAGTTCCGATGAGCGACAAGATGAGAGAAATACAGAATGCTGTCCTCGAATGCGTGGAGATTAGCATCACTGAACTGAGGAAAAGCAACACAGGACTAGATATGGAAGAGTGGACTTTGGACAGTGCCTTGCATCGGAATTTCGACATTATCATCCGGCGTCAACTGGACCCAATCTGGCATCGTGTCAGCTTCAGGACAAGGCAAATCGTCAGCGACCTTACAGATCTTCGAGCAATTCTTCAGTAAGTCTTGTCGATTGGCTCTTCTCTGTCCACTCTAACAAATTTGCAGCGCTTTGCTTACTTACGATGCTGTATCTTTCGTGAAATACCTCGATACTATTGTGGCTGCACATTCTCCGCCTCCCGGCTCTAACAAGCACAATTACTCTCCTTGGCTCTTCCTTGATGCAGCCCATGTCCTTTTCCAAACAGCCAAGTCGCGGGTCTATGAAGGAAAGCTTAACAATGAGCTCACTCGCCCCAACTCATACTCGACAAACTTCTCTTCTGAATTAAAACCAGCTCTTGAGGAACTTCCAAAGTGGAATGTCCTATCGGATGTTCTTGGGGAAATTGAGCACGATGCTTACCTCCATCCTCAGAGTATGGACCAATCAAATAGCACTATATTGATAATGTGCAACGATCAACGAATATGTCGCCAGCTTCGTGAGTACATTGGCACAATGCATGCCAAGATTGCCCATTCCGATTCCAAAGAAGACGATGATCCAGATGAGAAGCCCTCTGCAGAAGTCATGATGCGCCGCCGACTACGCGACTATCTTAACTGGAAGCGATCGTTGTCAAATGTAAACAGAAACTTGTCACAAGCAGGAGAAGACGATAGGACCGGAAAGTCTTCCGAGTCACCCGCGGCCCAGAGCGCGCCTCAAGGGCGACCTCCTCCAAACAAACGTCGTCGAGTGCGTGGCGGTGGTGCGGTTACTTCTGCCTCAGGACGTGTCCCAAATAGCAGTGTTCAAACCGAAGTCGAATTGCCTGGTCAGGTCGTCAGCTTGCTCAGTGAAATTCAACCCACTGAAGTTGAGGAAACACAAAAGGAGGAAATCATCATCGATGAATTGGAAGATATGGAAGATTTCTACGAATTGTACGATATGAATGATCTGGTTATGATCCACCCTTATGACGGTGACATGGATGAGCACATACTCGAAGAAGCGCGTCCGCGATACATCATCATGTATGAACCGGATGCAGCCTTTATTCGAAGGGTGGAGGTCTATCGCAGCTCTCACTCGGGGCGTAATGTGAAAGTGTACTTCATGTATTACGGTGGCTCGGTCGAGGAGCAGCGGTATCTGAGTGCCGTCAGGCGAGAGAAGGATTCATTCACCAAATTGATCAAGGAGAAGGGGGTAAGTTACTGACTCAGTCGTCTGGAATCTCTAGCTAACCTCTCTTTCAGAACATGGCAGTTACTTTAACGCACGATAAAAAGGCCGAAGACCCACAAGAGCAGTTCCTTAGAACAGTGAACACTCGTATTGCTGGAGGAGGGCGACTGGCTGCTACCGCATCTCCTCCACGGGTAGTAGTTGATGTGCGAGAATTTCGAAGTGCGCTCCCATCGTTGTTGCATGGCAACAATATGATAGTGATCCCCTGTCAGCTCACCGTGGGCGACTACATTCTCACCCCGGACATTTGCGTCGAGCGAAAGTCGATCCGCGATCTGATCACTTCTCTCAAAAACGGCCGTCTTTACAACCAGGCTGAAACTATGCTCCAACATTACAAGGACCCATTACTTCTGATCGAGTTCGACCAGAACAAATCCTTCACATTTGATGCCTTTGCCTCCATTCCGACTGGTGCCACCTTCTTGACAGACTATGGCTTCTCATCCTCCGGCACTGCGACCACCACGAGTAGCAGCTCGCTTGCCAATCCTTCCAATCCCAAGTCCGCCCAGCATCTACTCGTTCTTCTTACCCTTGCCTTCCCGCGACTGAAGATCATTTGGTCTTCGTCCCCCTACCAGACGGCCGAGATCTTTGCGGAGCTCAAAAAGAACGGCCACGAGCCAGATCCCCTTCGTGCAGTTCAGCTTGGCCTTGATTTTGATGTCTCTAACTCTGGCTCTGGTGATGTCATGGCAGCTGCTGGTATTGAACACCGTACCTTCAACCTCCTTCCACAGGATCTACTACGAGCTGTGCCGGGTGTCACACCCCAGGCCCTCGAGCGACTGATCATCAAAACGGACAACATCAGCGAAATCGCCAATATGAGTGCAGAACAGCTAGATCCCTTGGTTGGTAAAGAAGCCGCCCGAAAGATCGTCGCCTTCTTTCGCAAGAGTGTATTTGATTAATGAAGTTTCAACTTACGCGTAAGCTAAAACTAGTCAACGCGCCAAATCGAGTATGTTGAACATGAGCCTACGTCAACCAATGTAATGTGTAACAGACACAATCAATCTCACTCTGTATCTCCCCAAAACAAGTGTAAACCGAGACATCCGAGTGCTAGATGATCGTAGAATTGCAACCTGGCCTACCCCATAGTATTCTTTTCGTCTTGGCGTCGATCCTGCAGATCACCTAAATAAGGAAACGCAAGGGCTCTCCTTAAGTGGAGAGACCTCATCCTTTGCCATCATGGCGTTTGACGTTTCCAACTACGCATCATGCATCTGAAGTTTTTTTCGACGGTCGCCTTGGCTGTTGTTGGCGCCGCTAAGAATGTACGAGATGTTGAGCCGTGTGCGAAGGTTAGCCAGTTGGTAGCTGATGCCAACCAAAACAAAAGTGAGTTTTCCTACTCGATTTGCTTCTGTGGAATGTAACTGACAGTCGCAGTCAATGCCCGTGTGCCTCATGATTTGGCTCATCAGTGTCTACTGTCTATGCCCTTTGACTCGGATCGTGCCCTTAATTTCTTAAATCAGGTCCGCAAGATCCTCGAGTTTCAGTCGACCATTGATATCTTGAAAAGTAAGTATATACACCATGAAGAAAGCTCTCTGTTTCTAACATGTACTAGATCCCCCGGCCGGATATACCATGCCCTCCACGGATATCATAGGCGGAATTAACACAATTCTGGCCAAGGCAAAGAGCAATGGGTTTTCAAGTCAGTTCGACATGGACCTCGAGGTTAATAAGCTCATCAAGTCTGCTCATGATGGGCATCTCGCATTCCAGCTATGCTCACAATCTATCTTCACCTATGGGATAGACCTACCCCTGGTATCCATCTCAACAGATGGTCTTGCTCTCCCACAGGTTTACACATTAAGTATGTCCAGCTTCGATCGATACCAATGAGTCTACTAACCAATTTGTTAGACGATGCCAAACTGCAGAAGACCAACTCAAAGGCTGTCTCGCCTCTTGCATCTATCAATGGCACAGATGTAGCCACGTTCCTGGAATCATATGCCAGCGGCCAGAGTCTCCAAGATCGCGACGCACAGTATGTACCCTTCTCTCTTTCACCAATCTTTCCAACACTAACAGCCAAAGATACAATCGAGTGTTCCCCGGACTGGCCCGCAGTGTCACTAACACTCCCACCGACGCCAACGGAATCTGGGCCTCCATCGGCGACTGGACTGATGGCGCCGAGCTGTCCCTGAAGTTCGCCAATGGCACCGAAAAGATAGTGCAGAAGACAGCCACGCCAAGCGAGCGATTTTTCTCCTATGAAAATGGAACGCATCTCTGGAACACCGAGTGCGTTCCTCGTGACTTGTCCACGCCCTTGAGTTCCTCGTCTGTTGCAGAGAAAGCATCTGAAGTACCCGGACTCCCTAGTACCGACTGGCGCACCTCCGCCAATTCAATCGCGGGATATTACTCGAATCTCACAGATTTGCAGGACACAGCAGTCATCTTCTTGCCTACATTCTCATCTAGTGCATCAGAGGTTGCACAGATTGCCACCGATTTCTTGCAGAATGCCACGGCTGCCGGGAAGAAGAATGTGTTGATTGATGTCTCTGCCAATCCAGGTGGATACATGTCTATTGGTATTGACTTCTCTCGTATCTTCTTCCCCGGTGCTACCCCATACACGGCGACGCGTTTCCGGGCACATGATGCGGCGAAGTATCTCACCAAGGCGTATTCGCGGGATACATCTACCGATTCGAGTAATGTCTTTGCGTATAAGCAGATGGTCCAGCCTGATCAGAAAACGAATTTCAGTTCTTGGAAGGATCTCTATGGTCCGCATGATATCCTTGGGAGCTCGGCTTCAAGTCTGCTGGCTAATTTTAACTACACATCCACCTCCTCGGAAGTCTTTCCTATCAATGGATATGGGCCTGTTCCTTTGAAGCCGAGCAAATCCCTGTTCCCAGCGGAGAACATCGCAATCGTAAGTGAATGCTTTTCTCCGCAACACGAACGAATGACTGACACAATTTTCAATACAATCAGATCACAGATGGCGACTGCGTCTCAACCTGTGCATTCTTCGTCAAACTAATGAAACGCCGAGGCGTGCGGACAATCACATTCGGCGGCCGTCCTCAAAAAGCAGCCATGCAAGGCGTCGGCGGCGTAAAGGGCGGCCAGTCCCTCGGAATCAACTATATCAATGGCTACATCCAGCAAGCGAACAAGCTGATCAGTGACTCAATGAATAGTTCGTCTCCGCTGTTGACTATTTCCGAGTGGAAGGCTTTCAATGCGTCTAGTCCCAGCACGGCGGCGACGCTTTCGTGGAGTGGTAATCTGAATCTGAGGAATGAGTATGACCCCGAGGATGGGGAGACGCCGTTGCAGTTTGTTTATGAGGCTGCTGAGTGTCGGCTCTTTTATACTTTGGAGAATTATTTGGAGAGGGAGACGGTTTGGCAGGCTGCGGCCAAGGCTATGTTTGGGGGTGGACGGTGTGTGGAGGGCTCGACTAAGGGGAAGGGGAGTTTGGATTCTTGATATGGTGTTGAATATAGGGTTTTTGGGGATAGTTAGCGATAGACATAGACGTAGTCAGTCTACTTGCCTGTGTAAATAAGCACTACAAGGCGTTCCAGGTTACTTTTCTATACATAAGAACTCGACTTTCATGTCTAGTCTCCCAAAGGAGTAACAGTATGTATGTGGGTAATATTTTCAATTCTCGTGGCCCATTTCATGAATCTATCATAAAAGAACAAAGAAAAGCAACTCGAGGTGAACAGAGCAAATGCGCCGCATGCAACGCATTGCAAAGAAACAAGCACACAGGTTCATTATGTGTCTTGCAACTATTTTGAGTCCTCTGTATCTGATCCTAGGTATTTGCAAAAACGACAATGGAATTGAGGATCCACCTAAAAAACCATAATCGCCGATAGACAAAACCTGAGATTCCTCTGTTCGATGGCTTCGAGCCCTGGAAAATTGTCACAGTAGCGCCAGTGTGGGGATTCCCTTGCCTCATGCAGAGCCGGGGTTGAGAGCAGCGTCGAAGACTGAGAAGGTTGTGATGCTCTTGATATCCGTTCAAGCGAACGTACGGAGATGATCGTAAACCGAAGGGGTCTCGCGTGTCAAGTAGGCAGAGATGATCGGGATAAGGTAGCCACGACACTAGACCAACAGCGGCGAGTATGAGGGGATGGCGTTGGCGAACATGGAGAACACCGAGAGACGTTTCCGGGGCATTCTTGCAGGGCAGAGCATCGAACTCTGGGGATGGCAAGGGGTGACCTTAGAGGTCGTCGACATCGATCTCCTGGCCGTCCTCGCTCTCGCGGTCCTCGTCGAACTCGACGTTGTCTTCGATACCCTCGGCGCCGTAAGTATCGGTCTCGTTGATCTTGGCGTGCTCGGGCAACTCGCCGTAGGCCTTGAGAGAACGGGCCTCGTCGGCGGTGTACTTCATGATAACATCACCCTTCTCGTCCTGGTAGTCACGGAGCGAGAGGAGGATAATGTCACCCTGGTTGATCCAGACCTTCTTGCGGAGCTTGCCACGAATGTGGGCAAGACGGCTCTCGCCGTCGAAGCACACGGCCTGGAGACGACCGTTGCCAAGCATCTTCACAACCTGAGCATACTCCTGGCCTTCTTCCTTGAAGACAAGCTCACGCTTCTCGTTGTCGTTCTCGTTCTTTCCGCGACGACGGTTCTTACCACCCTGTAGTCAGTTGTTAGCATGTGTCTTTTGTCATATTATTTCAACGATGAAATTTATCCCAGGACCACATCACCAGCTCGTCAGGGGGTCAGCCTGAAGCGGTAGGTGAGAGTGGCGGGGGAGGAAATTATCAAAGAAAGAGGGGCTGAATTTTGTGATCTTACTTTTCCCTTGTTCTTGGGCATGGTGGTTGTGTGCGACCTTCACCTGGGTCGAATCTCACTTGTTGTGTTTTTTCCTGCAGATCAATCAAGATCTAAAGAGGCCTGATCGAGGATGACCAGAGAAGCGAGGATGGAAGAAAGAAAGAAGAGTGGGGGGCGTTGTGCCCGGTCAAATCTTGCGTGTTACGTAATCAGGCACCTTGCGTCAGTGTGGAAATTGCGGCCTGAATGCTGAGGTGCTACCTGACCGCCTGGCAAAAAAAGACGGCGAGTTGAGTATCTTCAGATCTTGAGGTCTTGATATTCTGTGTTATTTGGAGGCCTTGTGTTACTGTGGGATTGCAGGCTGGTATTTACTTACATCACGTCTGACTTGGTTCCCTGGGCTCCGGTCATTCCGAGACTTGCGATCCTACCTCCATTGGGCTGCTAGCTCAGGCGCTCATATCGATATTCATTGTATCTCGACGATACTTCTGTTGCTCGAAGTCCAACATCTCGATCCATACAATGGCCAGAGTGCCTGTCGCTCTTTCATGAAGCTCGCTGCTGATCCTATATGATACCAATGCGCTGCGAATCTCCGAATCTCTCTCCGAACCAACATATCCTTGCGATTACCGATACTCCTTTCTCACAATGTCTGTATTCAAGGCGGTAACGCCTACCAACAGTATAATAATGCGGTGGGCTCCCAAAAACAACATGCCTCCCGTCGCAAGCCGCTACCTAAACGCACTCTCTCATCCAATCCGACCCAAGATTGTCCATCTCTGCGGGCACCGAGATCGCAATACATTATGGTGGCGGGTTTCAGTGACACAGCTCCAGCAGCACAAGCGGGTGGTCCGTTCCTGGTGCGCACGTCGAGTGCGTGTTGCTATTGAGCAAGCTCTCAAGCAGCATGGATTGGACAAGTCAGGGAAACCGCTCGTCTCGGAGTCCCCTCTGCACAAGACCAATGTGACCGGGACTCTAGATATCCTCGTTCAGTTGCCGTGCGTGACTCAGAAAATGGATTCGCTTCAGGAAGATGCGAACAATCTAATATCTTCGTTTCTGGAACATGAAGCAGCAAACAAGGTCAATGAGCCGCAGCCAAAGTCCAATTCCAAAGCTAAAACCCGGCCATCGTGGACAAGACCATAGGGTTGTGGTCAATATGTATATTACTCTTTCATATTCTTGTATCTTACTATCACTGTACATTATTTGGGAGGCATCGGTCATGGCGTTTGGAATTGGCTATCTAACAAAATGACAGTCAGAGTAACTTTACTCACTACTATGTATATTAGCCAAGAATATCCATTTGAATTAAATACAACATGGTTGGCTTGAAATTGAAGTAAATATAGAACGCATCTTAGCTCCCGTTGACACTCGCTAAATGCCGATCTGGCGGAATCAACAACTCCAACTCTCTACAACCACCACCATTCATCTGAACTCTCACCTTCTTCTACACAATGTTGGTCTCCTTGACAGTCGGCAAGGTAGACGCTGGCGTCGCAGTCCTCCTGACTCAAGACAACCGCCTCGTAAGCCACAACCCCTAGGTCGCATGCTCCCAAACAGCCAAAACTGCGACACGACAAGCCTCGCCCAACCCCAAAAGAAACATAGCTAATCAACCTTCGCGCAGATCGAATTCCCCTCCGTCCTCCTCCCTAACAACATCGCTTCTGGCAGCATTGTCGACATCACCGTCTCGCGCAACCACGCCGCAGAAGCAGCCAGCGCAACAGCCTTCCAATCCCTCCAGAAACGAATCCTCAACACCTACGGCGTGAAAGCTCCCTCGCCCCCGATCCTGCGTCTGCGAAATGCCACGCAGACTTCCCTCGTCCTCGAATGGGACCCTATCGACTTGGCTACCGCATCCCTGAAATCCCTCTCCCTCTATCGCAATGGCTCAAAGGCCGGCTCCATACCCCGTCCCCTGGAGACTCGCAGTACGAAAATCTCCGGTCTAGCCATTCACTCCGAATACACTTTCCATCTGGTCCTCCGGACGACTGCTGGTACTTACCAGTCCGAGAAGCTGACGTGTCGCACGCACAAGATGACCGATCTGTCTGGTATCACTGTCACAACAGGCGTACTGGATCCGGCGCAGAAGGAGGCTCTGGGATCTGCACTTGATCGGATTGGTGGTAAGATGATTGACTCTGTTCGCATTGATACTACGCACTTTGTTTGCACGGAGGGCCGGGGCCCGCTTTGGGAGAAGGCTGTTGAGATGAATATTCCTGTTGTCACGCCTGAGTGGGTGGACGCTTGCGAGTCCGAGGGTACGATTGTTGGTGTGCGTGGTTACTATCTCAATGCTGATCCTAAGACTCGGCAACTTGGTGTCATTCATGGCTCTTCGCATCAGCGTACTACTTCTACCATTTCCACTGCGACTCTGGCCAACCAGGGCAGGCCCAGTACTGGTAGACCTAGTACTCAGCCTGTGAGAAGCCCTGTGCAGGAACAGGTGCCAGAGGAGCCTCCTTTGACTCCGTTCCCTGGGGGTGAGATGAGTGGTCAACCGCAGGCGCAAACAGAGGAAGTTGGATCGGCGGAAGATGACGCCCCGCCTCCCTCGCCGCCACCAAAAGATGAGGGAGAGGATACAAATGAGACGGTTCAGAATGGAGACACAGAACCCGTGTCTGTGCCAGAGATGAAGATCGATGGGCCTGAGCCTGAAGTTGAGGCGGAGGAAAGCAACGGAGAATCAGACAAGGGTGCCACTCTGCCACAGAACAGACCCGAAGATGATTCCGAGGCTGCAAGTTCTGGCACTGCAAAGAGCAAAGGGAAGGAGAGTGAGGGTGACTTCAACGAAGTCCCTCTCTGATGATTCTCCTTTCCGCTTGTTCCTTGCTCCGTTAACCCATTTGACTCCTCTACCATTGCCCTATATCTGTTCTGTTGTCGAGCAGTGTCTACGAACTTTTTCAGTACAGTTTTACATTGTTGTGTTTGGCGACGCGCCTCTATACCTAGGTAGACAAGGTCTTACGAATGTGCCCCGACTGATCTTTTTCCGTTTTTATTGTTCAATTTGCCGTTGTATGTACAGTAGATAGTTTTCCTAATGCAGCTCATTGATCCAATAGCCATTTAACTCATTTTAGATCTAATATAGGATAGGATGAATAGAAGTAATACCGAAACTGGCAATGATTCTCTAAATGTGAATTCTATCATGAAATGTCGTAAAATCAGAATATGGCCCGCCAGATGCAAAGTCTGAAACAGAAACTTGACTTTTGAGAGAGATCCGATATCCTCTCAGGGCATGCAACTGAAATGAAAATCAAAAATTCGTCCAGCTCGGACCCGTTTCAAATGATTTAGTTCTCGGTCCGGATGACATCGTCAATTGCCCGTGCGACGTATGCGACATTCTTTTCGCTCACTGTATTCTATGTCAGCTCGTATTCTGGATGTATGGATTCGAAGTTTCTTACAGCCGCTGATGGAGGCTCGGCCGGACTTGAGTAGATAGATGTGATACTTGTCCTTCAGGGCGTAGACCTGCTTGGGGGAGAGACCGGTGTAGGAGAACATGCCGTTCTATGGGATTATTAGTATAAATTACAGCTGTAAGATAGTCTTGTTCGCAACTTACCTGTTGGATAATGTGCTCCCAGGTGCCGGGGGTCTGCAAGCGGACCAGCTCATTGTACAGAGCCTGGCGCATAGCCTTAATGCGGGAGCTCATGACCTGCAAGTCCTGGTGCCAGTCGGCAGTGAGCTCGTCGCTGGTGAGGACCTTCTTGACGATGCTGCAGCCAACACGAGGTCCCATGGAGAACTCGCCACGGATCAAATGGCAGAGGTTGTTCACCACGATGTCGCGAATGGAGGTCGAGCTGCGGTTGGTGACATAGTGGAACGCACCGACACGCTGGCCGTACAGACCGAAGTTCTTGGAGAAACTCTGTGCAACGCACATCTCCATGTCGGGCTTGTGGTTGAAGAAGTAGCGGACGGCCCAGGCGTCCTCCTCGACGGAGCCTGAGGCGAATCCCTGGTAGGCCGAGTCGAAGAAAGGGAAGAGGTTCTTGCGCTCGCAGAGGTCGGCAATGGCCATCCACTGCTCCTTGTTGGGATCCAGGCCGGTGGGATTGTGCGCGCAGGCGTGCAGCAGCACGGCGTCGCCCTCTTGCGCATCGTTCTCGAGGGTCGACATCATGCCCTCGAAGTCGAAGGACCGGGTTGCGGCATGGTAGTAAGGGTAGGTCTTGCGGGGCACACCGGCCAGCTCCCAGATGGTCTGGTGGTTGGCCCAGGAGGGGTTCGACAGCCAGACGCTGCGAGGTTTCATGTGGTGGGCGAGGAATATGGCTCCCAGGTGGTTGGCACCGGTGCCGGCGACAGTCTGTACGGATCCAATGCGTGCCTTGGCCTCTTCTTCGGTCTGCTTGCCCTCGAATCCGAACATCAGGTCCCGTGCGATTCCGAGGAAGGGCACGTCACCCTCGATAGCCGTGTACTCGTGGCGGAAGAGGTCGTTGTCTACTACCAGCTGCTTCTCGGCCTTTTGCACGACAGGCAGGGGCCATGGCTTGCCATCGTCGGTCCGGTAGACACCCACACCCAGGCTAACCTTGTGCGGGAAAGTGTCGACGGCGTAGGCACCGTTCAAAGCAAAGATCTCGTCTGGTGGGACCGGGGCCACATTGAGGCGGGTGTTAACGTTGGCCATGGTTATATGTGTGCGATTGACTGAGTATTCGATTGATCTGAGCAAGTTGTGTGGAAAGAGTGTCGGTCAAATAACACGATCGAAGATCGCTGAGTCAACCCGATATCGCCTTTCTTTTTTTGCCCCGCGGGAAGTCCCGCTTAGTAGCGGTTCGTGAAGAGCAAAGCATCATACACTCCTTGCTTGGAGATAGATAGCCGTGGATATCCTTCAGCAGAATCGAGTAGATTGCAACTTTTGACCCTAGCTTTTCTGCTAACCTTGGAAACTTTACCCTAGCGGTCAGCTGAGGACGTGGCGTCTGCTGACTTCCTTTTGAGTAAGCAGCCCTTCTTTGATGAGTGAAGATGTGAATATGGTTCTATTGCATTAATATGGATCCAAGGGGCTTTGCATTCGTTTTTCAATAGTTGGTGGGGAGTTGCAGTTGGGAGATGCAGTGGCGGACCGTATATTCTGTAGTGCATGAATATATAGATTAACATGACATATATGTGCAAGCGCTTTAGATAACTTCCACCACCAATCATGTTTTTTATGAACTATATCTCGATTCACATCTTCAATGCCGTCATGATTATGTACTTTATTATAGTTGGATGTCTCTTAAAATGCTGTTATCGGTATACTGTTGTGCCGAAAGCCCCTCAACACTAGGTGCAGGGATACTAATGCTGACATTTCATGCATGAGATCGACCTATGACTGTTACATCTGGGCACGATGTGCTTTTGACAGCTCGTACCCCGCGCGAGACGTTGATTTCCCCTGAAAACAAGCATCGTTCACCTTTCAGCCACATACACAGCCCTGTCATATCGTAACAAACCCGATTCGCAATGACCTCCAAGCCTGCAGCCACTGGTGATCCAGCATTACACGCATTCCAAGTTCCAATGATAACCCAACCCCTTCACAACAGTATCCCACCAGAGCTACTCCCTCGATATGACCCAGTCTACGTAGAGTACTACAATAAGTACAATGCCGGGCGACTCCATACACACGAGGTCCCGATAGAAGAGTTCCGCAAGAACCCAGGCCGGTACACCATTTCCTATGGACGTGCTCGGGGTCCGGACATCTTCCGCATCACTGAACAGAAGTGCCCGGTCAATGGCGGGGAGATTACCATTCGGATCTTTGAGCCAGAACTCGAGCTGGACGAGCAGGGCAATCCGAAAAAGAGAGCGGCTTATATCAACTTCCATGGAGGTGGTTGGGTGTTTGGTGGACTATACTACGATCATGACTTCTGCAAGCGAGTCGTCCACGGCCTCGAGGGGGACTTGGTTGCTTTTGATGTTGACTATCGACTGGCACCTGAGCATAAATATCCGATTCCTGTGAATGATTGCTGGTCTGCTTTCAATTGGGTATAACCCCAGATCCGTCGCGAACAGTGAACAGAACTAACGAGATCCAGGTCCGTTCCAAAGCAACAGAGTTCAATCTTGACCTGGATCGATTCGCGGTGGGCGGCGTGTCAGCAGGAGGTCATCTCTCGGCCGTCATCAGTCATCTCTGTCGCGATCAAAACATTCCTCTGCGATTGCAGATCTTGACTGTACCAGCGACGGACTTGCACCGTGTCTTCACGCCTGAAGGGAAATTTGACCGAGAGAACTGTCCCTACGAGTCATACCGGGAGATGGAGTTTGCACCAGCACTACCTGCAGCGCGTATGGCATACTTCCACCGACAGTTCCTGGGAGTGCCTCGACCAGCTGAGTCTGATGAAGTGAGTCCGTCTTCCATAATTGCCAATTGTATGCTGATCCCTCTAGGACTGGAAAATATCGCCGATCCTCGCTTCCAACTTTCAGAACTTGGCTCCTGCGTTGGTGTCTACCGCGGAGCTGGATCCTCTGCGCGACGAAGGAGAAGCGTATGCGGCTAAACTTCAAGCTGCTGGGGTATACGTGGAGGTAGATCGAATCCCGGGTGTACCACACCTGGTGGCTGCCATGGATGGCATTCTGGAAGGTGGTCGACGCTACAACGCGAAAGTGGTTGAGACGATGAAGCGACAACTCAAGGGATGAATGTTCAACCAGTAATTACCATACCGTAGTTAGCGAACAATACCACTTTAACTGCCGAGAATTCGTGTTATTTTGTGTTTTGCCGATACCGGGAAGTTTCGGTTGGGGGAAGCCGGCGACTCGTCGATTTAATCCTCACTTTTGCTTCTTAAGGACACTCAAGTCTCCGGTCCCTACTTCTCAAGCTCAGCGCGAGCCATTGATCCTATTTTTGTCTTGTTTAGCATAATGAATCCCTCTACCTCCCGAGCCGCGGTGCGCTCTATGGCCACCCTAACACATGCGACCAGAGCCACCCCCGCAGCCCGCAACCTTCTGTCAATCGCTCGTCCGGCTACTCGGTCTCTGAGCTCCAATACCCGTCAATTCGCTTTCCCCCGCCTTCAGACCCTCAACAAGCGTGCCTTTGGAACAACCGCCAGAATGGTATGCGTCGAGAGAGCTCCGTGGAACACAGACACAGACAACTGATGGCTTCTAGTCCGTTGATGCTCGTACCGAGAGCGATGCCTTTGGTGAAATCCAGGTGAGTGACCATGACGTATCAATGGGGTTGAGGCTACAATAGCTAACGAGGTTCTGAATAGGTCCCTGGTGACAAGTACTGGGGTGCGCAGACCCAGCGGTAAGCCTGTCGAATCGATACCATAGAGAACAGAGAGAACAGGATCGCTGATGGATACAGCTCCCTGGGCAACTTCGACATCAACCAGCCCCAGGACCGTATGCCTGCCCCCGTGATCAAGGCTTTCGGTATCCTCAAGGGTGCTGCCGCCGAAGTCAACATGAAGTACGGCCTTGGTATGTAATGCTCTGGCGCAAATTTCGATATCAGATTATTGATTCGTCTAAGACCCTAAGATCGGCGAGGCCATCAAACAGGCCGCCGCTGAGGTCGCCGAGGGTAAGCTGCTGGACCACTTCCCTTTGGTTGTCTGGCAGACCGGCTCCGGCACCCAGTCCAACATGAACTCCAACGAGGTCATCTCCAATCGTGCCATTGAGATCCTCGGTGGCACCATGGGCTCCAAGAAGCCCGTCCACCCCAATGACCACGTCAACATGTCCGCCTCTTCCAACGACTCCTTCCCCACCGTCATGCACATTGCTGCCGTTGTCGAGCTGGAGCAGACCCTCCTGCCTTCGCTCAAGGGTCTTCGTGACGCCCTCCAGGCCAAGGTCGAGAAGTTCGAGCACCTGATCAAGATTGGTCGTACTCATCTGCAAGACGCCACTCCCCTCACCCTCGGCCAGGAATTCTCTGGCTATGTCGCCCAGCTCGACCGCAACATCGAGCGTGTCCAGGCATCTCTCCCCCACCTGCGCTTCCTCGCTCAGGGTGGTACCGCCGTCGGCACTGGTCTGAACACCTTCAAGGGCTTCGACGAGGCCGTCGCCGCCGAGATCAGCAAGCTGACCGGCACCGAGTTCAAGACCGCCCCCAACAAGTTCGAGGTTCTCGCCGCCCACGACTCCATCGTCGAGGCCTCCGGCTCCCTCAACACCCTCGCCTGCTCCCTGTTCAAGATCGCCCAGGATGTGCGGTACCTCGGTTCCGGTCCCCGCTGCGGTCTCGGCGAGTTGATCCTCCCCGAGAACGAGCCCGGTAGCTCCATCATGCCCGGCAAGGTCAACCCCACCCAGTGCGAGTCCCTCACCATGGTCTGCGCCCAGGTTATGGGTAACCACGTCGCTGCCACCGTCGGCGGTATGAACGGCCAGTTCGAGCTGAACGTCTTCAAGCCCGTGATGATCGCCAACCTGCTCCACAGCGTGCGCATCCTCTCCGACGGCATGAACAGCTTCCGTTCCCACCTGGTTGAGGGTCTCGAAGCCAACGAGTCCCGCATTAACTCCCTTCTCCACGAGAGGTATGTACTTTCCCCCTTGCTTTTGGTGGCAAATTCTAACGCTTTGACAGTCTGATGCTTGTGACCTGCCTGAACCCCGTCATTGGCTACGACATGGCCTCCAAGGTGGCCAAGAACGCCCACAAGAAGGGCACCACTCTCAAGGAGAGTGCTATGGAGCTCAAGGCTCTCAGCTCCGAGGAGTTCGACAAGTACGTTCGCCCTGAGCTGATGCTTGCTCCTAAGGAGTTGAAGTAAATGAACAGCACTGCTGTTCCTGTGCCATTATAGACTAGGATATGTAAGAATTTCATGTTTGTTCTGAACATTTCGAGTTGACCATGTAGATGTACTTGTAACTCAAGTTAGAAGATAGAGCCTGGGTGTTTAGGCGAGTTATAAATAAGTTAACTAGTGTTCTCGAAAGGCAGAACGAGCCGAGTGTAAATTTGTCAATTGCCATTTAAAATTGACAATTAACAGACAATAAGACGGAGATGCCGAAATATGAAAAATTCCAACATGCAGACTAGTGAAGTGTATGGAAGTGAAGAATCCACTGGAGTATTAATAGAACCCCTGGGGCAGTGTTTCACTTTGTACCTGGAACCCTTCAAGTATCTCCCAAGGTTAAACTTATTTCTCCTTCCTCTTTTCACTCGCTTCAACTCTCTTCAATTCAATCTCAACTATCTCATTATCACCTAATAAACACCCTCACCTATCCCTCCCAACCTCCAAGTCTACTGTTGACCAACACAACACCACCACTAAAATGACCACCCCCATCGCAACTCTCCACGAAACCAAAACCATGAACCCAACAATCACCCAAATCGAACCCAACAGTCCCCCATCCGACGGCCCTCTCTTCCCCTCAACCCTCATCTCCCCAGAAGTAATCTCCGTCCTCCCAGAAAACTACACCATCCGCCCCCTTCGCCGCTCAGACTACAGCCGCGGCTACCTTGACGTGCTGCGCGTCCTGACTACCGTCGGCGACATTAGCGAGGAAGCCTGGAACAAGCGCTATGACTGGATCACCTCGCGCAATGATGAGTATTACATGCTTGTTGTCTGTGATGGTGCGGACCGGATTGTCGGTACCGGCAGTTTGATTGTTGAGCGCAAGTTTATTCATGAGCTTGGTATGGTCGGGCATATTGAGGATATTGCTGTTGAAAAGGGGCAGCAGGGGATGAAGCTTGGTTTGAGGATTATCCAGGCGTTGGATTTTGTTGCTGCTAATGTTGGTTGTTACAAGGTATGTTTTTCTTTATTTTTACGCTCTGTGTTGTGTTCCTGCTAACTGCTTTGCAGAGTATTCTTGACTGCTCCGAGGCCAACGAGGGTTTCTACGTTAAGTGTGGTTTCAAGCGCGCTGGTTTGGAAATGGCCCACTATTACTGAATGGCTGTGCAATCTTGAATTGTGATTTTTTTCGACTCGGTTTACTCTGGACTTTGATCTGGCGTTTGGGGCATTCGGTTCAATTTGCCCGGCTTGGCTTGTTGAGGGCGCATTATACATGATATAAACTTGCGT